GTTTCAGCAGCTGAGGACAGGCCTCCTGGTCAGCACTGGTTTGCAGTGGTCACATCCGCTCTTCTCTCCATAAGTTTCTTCCCCTGTATATATTATCCTGGCCCCATCAGAATGCAGAAAGACCATCCCATCAGGCATCAGGCGGGCCTCCTGCAGATGCTTCTCCCTTGACATTTCCAGATTCATCTTGTAGCTCTCAGCCAGCTGATGGGTGCTGTGTCTATGGGTGCACATGCACTCTGGGGAGCATTGAGCCTGTGCTTTCCCTTGATATCCTGTCTCCTTTTCATTTGTCTCTGCCTGGCGTGATAAAATCCCTTGCCTTGTCCTTGCTAACCACCATATGTTCCTCCGCTGAGGACATGGAGCCACTCTGTGAGTTCCCGTTCTCCTGCCCTTTCTCTTCCAGAGTGGCCTGTGGGGAGGTGACCCGCGCTTGTGAGTTCTTGGTCTCCAAGCAGATGGAGGACGGTGGATGGGGAGAAGACTTTGAATCTTGTGAGCAGCGCAGATACATCCAGAGCGCCACATCCCAAATACACAACACTTGCTGGGCTCTTCTGGGGCTCATGGCTGTTAGGTAAAAGTTTGTGCTTGGAAGTGACCCTTGGCCTGTGCACGGGGATGAGGGCAGATAGAAACAGCCACCAGTCTTGAATTGCATCTTTGGGGGACCCCCATTGGCTAGTAGAGGCTACCACCAAGCATGCCCAAACAGCAGCTTCCTGGGTCTGTGCTGCAGCCTGCACACAAGAAGTCCCTTGGGAAAATGCAGGCCTCCCTTTCTCCTGGAATGCCCTTGTGCAGAAATTCAACTTTTGGCAGCTGCAATGAAAAGATCACAGCTGCCTTGTCTGTCAAATATTTCTGCCTGAGCATAGCCTGCTGTCACTGCGCATCTCTCCTTGTTAGCCATGCACCCTGGCATCATGCTCCTCTGCCTTGCAGGGAACAGAAATGCTCACTTGCTGCATCCAGTCCTTGAGGCCGTCCCTTTAGCTGCTCGCTTTCTTTGTGGGAACAGTTAACAAGTCTCTGACTGAGGCCATGCTAACCTGGTGGCATTTGGTCTTCCTGCCTAGGATATTACATCACTTGCAAGAATCTTTCTGATATTTGTGAATTACCTGAGCCTTAGCTTTTCCTCTCTAAACCTACTTGAGCAGTGAACTTGGGTCAAAACAACTCTTCTTGCTTTGCAGGTATCCAGACGTTAGAGTCCTGGAAAGAGGGATCAAAGTTTTGATTGACAAACAGCTGCCTAATGGAGACTGGCCTCAGGTGAAGTGTGCCTCGAGTGCATTCCTTATAAAGGAAGGGCACAAGCAACTTGCACATCTTTGCAAATCACAGCATTGCCATTTGCATACATTCTCTCTCACACTAATACACCTACAAGCACACCTTTCTTCTTAGCTTCTCAGAATTCCTCTTCCACCCGGGTTGCGGATTTTCCTTCAAGCACCAGAATCTCTTTTGTGTTCCTTGTTCCAGTATGACTCCCACCACCCACGTTTTAGCTCCTGTTTGTACCAATCCCAATCAAACACAGCCTTTCCTTGGCTGGGAGGAATTCCCTCTTGACTATTCAGCAGCTCATGAAAAAAGCAGCCCTGGCTATTGCTACTTCATGGAAGGGCAGGTTCTCAAAGTGCCCATTAAGCCGCCTGAAGTTTTAAATGTTTAAGCATGGATCAGGAACAGTGGAAGTAGGAAAGCTGGCGCAAGCCAGACTATCAAGATCACTGTGCATTGGCTGGTTTATCCTGGAATGCCTGCATATTGGAATCGGAGCCTTTGGTCCAGCTCATGCTCAGGGCCGTGAAGGTGTCATTTATTTAATTTTAAAATGTAAACATTTCAAAAAGTATCAGCTGCCTTTTCACCATAGATAGTCAAAGCAGGTCACACCTGTCATATGGTACCTCCATGTATGAGGAGGTTTGTGCAGCTCAAGGCCGCTTTTCAGGTGCTGACGCCCTTATAGGTCGCTCATCTTTCCGTGCTTCTTACTGTGTTGGAAAGATGAGAGGATGGATGAGATGGAATTTCTGTGTTTCTTTGCTTTTCAGGAGAACATTTCCGGAGTGTTCAACAAAACCTGTGCGATCAGCTATACCTCCTACCGAAACGTCTTCCCCATCTGGACCCTGGGGCGCTTTTCTCGCCTGCATCCTGCCCACCCACTGGCTGGCAAGCGCTTGACGGAGGCATTAAGAAATGGGGAGAGGGGCCTGGCTGGCAGGATGGCAAATGGACACGGAGAAGCACCCTCTTCCTGAGTTTGGGTCTGGTACCAACATTTCAGGCATGGACTGCCCATCTCTCTGCTTATTTTTCTAAACTCTTGGGAAGCTGGTGAGGAGGGAGAATTGAAGGGGAAACACGGAAGGCTTCTCTGGATGCTTTGCCGCCCTCTTGCTTCTCGTACTTCTACATGCCGGACAGAAAGGAGTTGGCCCAGGAGAAGTGATGAATGGCAGACTCTGGGTCTGTGCTGTGGTTGACTCGCATTTGCTGCTTAGAATGGACACTTTAGACACAAAAACCCATGATTCTGTGCCATTTACTGGGCATTAACATTTATTTAACTTTCTGTACATGCATACCAAACATTATGGTGGCTGCGTGTATCCCTGCTGTTTCACTGTTATACTTGCAGTATTTGCAGTGGAAGCAGAAGAGTGTAACCTTTAGAGTAATTGAGGTAAATTAACACATAACTTAATCAGTGTTGATGCCTTATTTTTCTCTTACCTTAAAGATAAGCTTAAATTGTTCTTTAGGGTATGGGTGGGGAACCCTAGTGCCTCATCCCCCCTCATGGCCAACCTGCTGGGGTGCGTAGGTGGCACAACAATTGAATAGTGTGCGCTAGTTGCATAGACTCCATGTGCATATCCCAGGGAACAGACATTCTGGGATTGGGTCTACCCAACTGCCACTGAGAGCCAGCCCACATCCAAGGTAGTGGGGAGGCTACAGCTGACCACATGGCCTAAGTAACTCGTGGTCCTTGACGTCTGCCAGCATTGGCCAGCATTTTGGAGCTTACATAGCCTGGAGTTCGAGTCCCTTCTTATTTGATCTACTTACCCCAAGTTGAACATAATTTTCTTACCAGAGAAGATTCAATACATGTTTTGTGGAGATTGACACACACGCAAGCCTTGGCCTGTGAACATCTGGCCCTGATCTTGCTGTGTTGCAGGGGAAAGGTTTGTGCAAGGCCTTGTGGTTGCTGGAAGGCAAGTAAAACCCTCCACGCAATCTGAAGGCTCTACTGAAATTTGGTACTTTTCTCCTGAAAGTCAAGCATACCTCATGCGGGAGGGCATTCTGCAAACAGGGAACCACCACTGAGAAGACCCTGTCATGGTAAACACTAAGCAGCCAGAAGTGGGATCTCCAACAGGACCCGGGTTGCTCCTTTAGGCTCTGGGATCCTAAGCTATGTAGGGCTTTGCATGCTGGTACTCACACCTTGATTTGGGCTTGGTAGCTCACTGACAGGCAGCGCAGAGCTTTCTGGACTTGTGACCCTTGGTTCTACCAGGCTGTCCCATTTACCAATCTAGCAGCTGCATTCTGTGTGAGCTGCAGCCTCCAGACTGTTCAAGGGTAGCCCCGTGTGGAGTGCATTGTAGTACTCTATATGGGAGGTCAGTAGAACATGGGCAACTGAGGCCAGGATATCCTGGTCCTAGAATGACTGTGACTGGAATATTAGCCTTCCTGGCTTAGCGCACAAATGACGATTTGGAATCTAGGACTCTTTCTTCCAGGAGAAGTGCAACCCTTCCCAGAACAGGTCATGCATCTCATTCCTGGATATGGGAACCACCACCCACAGGATTCAGCCCCAGTTCTCCAAGGACCCCAAAGCCCAGGGAGCCAAGCAACCATCTCCTAGATCTACCTCCTGCTGATGACCCTGTAGGTAGGAAGAGAATGGCAATGCTGCCTCCAACTCCTCTTCCAGAAGTTCCCAGAGCTGCTGAGAAATCAAGAAGATGCCACAGGGTTACAGTCCCCCACTTCCACTTCCATCCCAATAAAGGGCATCCGTCAGGGCAACACAGGTGCTAAAACGGGGCTTGGATCCAGATTGAGATGGCTCCAGATAATCTGCTTCCTCCAAGAACACTGCAGCTGCTGCCCCCCATCACCTTGCCCAAGAAGTAAATGATAAGAGGCGGGACTAAATTTCTGGATCCAGAGACAGTCTCTTCAAGAGAGGTTTATCGCCACCCCTTTGAAGGCAGAGAACATAACTCACTCTCACAACAAGGCACCAGCTGCTCCTGGACCCATCCAGTCAGTCTTGCTAGTGTTTGTCAGCCTTGATGGGCAGGGAGCAAGGTATGCAGTTGGCCTCAGCACCACAAGGGTGCTGTCTGTCACCAGGCTGCAACAATGGAAACTGACCCCACAGGTTGGAATCTTAACAGTTCTCCCAGGACTCCTAATGAGCCTGGACTGTGATGTTGGGTTTGGCGTGGATCCAATGAATTTCCCCCTCAAAGTGCTTTTGCAGCAGGCTAATGGAGAGCCACTGGTCAGCACCAGCCCATTTGCCAGCTCTGCTGCTGGAGACGGTCAGAAATTATTTAGAGGATGGGTCTGCCTTCTGAATGTGCTTAAACTTCTATTGAAAAAGAGCTAGCCTGTTCAGAACAATTGGGCTTACTGGGGAAATGGGGAGGCTAAACTTGGAGTGAATTGTGCATTAGACCCGTGGCATCTTTCTGCTCAGGAATTTCCAGAGACTAGATTCCAATATAGGGGTTTGTGACATTGGAGGCTCCCCATCATTGAAACGTGGCCTTCTCCATGTCCCAGAAGTTACTGCAGTGGGGCTGCTGCGTGTAGGAACCAGACCCATGTGCTGAATAGATGCACAAGAAGTTTGTCATCTGGCAGAGGGTTCATGGGAAAACCATTTCCTACCCGGGCAGCTTGTATCTGTAACTACATTTACCATTAACCGCCACCTCCCCCCCCCCCCCCGCCAAGCTACTGAAAAACTGGCTGGAACATTCAAAGGCACGATGGTAAGTAGAAACTGGGTTGTGAGATGGGTGCATGACAGAGCAATGATGTGCCTGCATGTGCCTTGCCTTTTGTGACCAGCAGTGAGCCATGCAGCCGTCAGGGCTGGGAGCAGCTGCTGCTTCAGCCCCTCTGACCAGCAGACCTTGCGCAGCTCTTGGCTCACCCTGAGACACAAGACTGGCGATGGAAGCAGCGGGGAGGCCGAAAGCACCTTAAGATGCAACCGGGGAGAGAGAAAAGCAAAGCATTCAAAAGGCGGCCTCAAATTAGTGCTGGAAATTAATAAAGTTGTAGAACACCCAACGCATATATAAGTGAAAATCTTCAGAGGTTTCCCAGTACCATTTTACTGATAAGTTTACTTTTAAAAAAAATAAATACTGCTTAATATAGCAACAACAACTTAACAAAAACCATTAAGTATCTTACATAAAAACAGTAACAATTCACCAACAGCATCCAATAGCATTTGAAAAAACAAAACTAGACAAATAAAAATTAGGAGCCAGAATCCAGGAAAACTTGGGTAAGCCTGCATATTTTAAGGACACATTTAAAGCTAATTGCCACCTCCACATCACAAATTACCTGAGGGAGGTCACTCCGGGGGTAGCCTGCTGTCCCTGAAGAGGCCCCCTTATGTGTTGCTGCCAAGGGACAATGGCAGCCAAGGGTGGATGCTTAGAATGGCTGTTCCATCCAGTAAGTAAGCCGTGCCATTTTGGTCACATCTATCCTATACATTTAAATTGCATGGCTTCCCCCAAAGAATCCTGGGAACTGTAGTTTTTAAGGATGCTGGGAGTTGTTAGCTCTGTGCAGGGCAAACTACAGTTCCCAGGATTCTTTGTGAGAAGCCATGTGCTTCAAATGTGGCATGGCTGTGATCTAATTCGGCTGCCCACAGGCCTAGCCGAAATAAATGATTTCAGTGGAGCAACAGGGCGTACTGTTAAGAGGTGGCGACATCATAATGCCGTAGAAACATTCTAAACCTGTTGAGCTTCCTGTGAGCCTTTCAAAGCACTGGGACAAGTGACCTGTCCAGCCAAGGCTGTTCCTTACCAATTAATCCTTCCTCGCCAAGGAGGAAGAAGAGGATGACCGAGGAGAGAGAGTGGATGAAAAGGATTCAAGACGAAAATGCGCACCTGAAAAATCAGATTCGGCTGCTCAGGGAAAACTATGAACTCCGTGCTATGTTGGGTCAACAGTGTGACAACAGCAGCCAAGTCCAGTTCTTAACGTCTCCAATTTCTCCTGTATATACTGATGCTGGTTTATTGGTAAAAGGAGGTAAGGAGCAAGCGCTACAATTTTACTTACCAAACATCTTAGAAATAAACAAGTGATAAGCATATTCCTGCCTATGTGTGCATTTGAATTTATATGTGCAGCTCAGCCAGACGTGGCCTAGTCAGTCCATCTGCGTAAAATAGTCATTAGAGAAAGAGGCATTTGTAATAGAAACCTGCATTGGCCGTTGGACGACCCCGTGATCCCAAGGAGAGCTGACTCCTCAGCATCTTCCTGTTTCAGCTTTTGAGCAGAACTGGGTGAAACTACATAGGCTTAGCAAGCCCATTAATTTCATTTGTATGAAATTTTGCTTCATTTTACTTTTAATTTGTATACCGCCTTTCTGTGCTACTATACACAAGCTGAAGAAACAACAAAATAGGCAGCAAAGAGCACATACATAATAGCAATCTGATCCAATATAAAAAGTCATAATAAAAACATAAGTTTAAAATAAATAATTTATATCAAATAAAGCAATATTAAATAATCCATTAGGAATAAAGCATATACATTCATCAATGCCATTCATAGCTTTAGGCAAAAGTAGACAGGTCTCTGTCCTGGGGAGATGACAATGTCCTTTCCTGAAATCATGAAAGTGGAGCAAATTCCAGTCTTTGTATGCAACAGTTCCTGACCAGATGATGGCCACTGACATCTGGTTTAGGTACTTAAATATTCAACTGCACCTCTACCCGTGTTTAAGGTGGCTAACAGCAAAGAGTATTGCACATAAAATGCAATGATAACAATAAAACCAGGCAATAATTTTTTGGAAAATTAAAAGTTTCCAGGTTTGTGTCTTAACATGCTATTCACTCAGTATAAAATTGGGTTTTGTTTTTTAAAAACATGAGCTGGAGGCTGATGTGGCTGAAATATGAGATCTAGTCTGAGGAAGGACTTAAACACGTGTAGCTGGAGTAGGGGAAGAGTGGACTGGTTGCAAGTCAGAGGAATCGACACTTACCCTGAAGGAACTGGTGCAGGACAGGATGTTATGTCTGCTACACCTCTGGGGTCTCCCTCCCCCCCCCACACCTGTCCAGGCATTCATCATTCTCCCCTGCTGCTGCTGCTGCTGCTATAGCAAAAAAGGTGCAACTTACTTGTTGCAAAAAAGGGTGCAACTTAGTTCAAGAGATGGGGAAGAAAGATGGCCCCAGAAAAGACAGAATCAGTGCTGAGAATTGCTTCTGCTGAGTCAGTACTATTTAAAGGTAAGGGTAGGTATCGTGTCTGTGTGTATTTGAGGGGTAGAGAGAGGAGAGTCCAAGACATTTTGCTGCATGTGGCACTGTAGCAAATCCCCCTCTACAGCCACCCCCTCCTCACCACCAAGGTGTGGTCACAGCCAAGGTTGGTCAAGTTGCTTTGATGCCTGAAGCAGAAAAATGCCTCAATTGCCTCTTCTGGGGAAGTAAAAATTCAGCAATAATAAAGGCTGCTTTAATGAAATTCTCCCCCCCCCCTCAGATAAGATCCTCCTTGGTGCAGAGGAGCCAATCTATCTCCCTGTCTTTACAATAAGCCTGCATATTGGGCTGTTGCCATATATTTGGTGGCAATTGTGATTTTCCTCTTCCATATTCTCTCAAGAGGAGTGGTTTGCCTGTTCTATAAAATAACATCTCATCCTCAGACACATAGGACAAATATTTGGGTACCTTCCAAGCTGCATAGCTTGTCTCTTTAAGGGTGTACAGCACTAATAATAATAATAATAATAATAATAATAATAATAATTTTTTATTATTATTATTATTATTATTATTATTATTATTATTATTATTATTTATACCCCGCCCATCTGGCTGGGCTTCCCCAGCCACTCTGGGTGGCTTCCAAAAGAATATTAAAATACTATAATACATCAAACATTAAAAGCTTCCCGAAACAGGGCTGCCTTCAGATGTCTTCTAAAAGCCTGGTAGTTGTTGTTCTCTTTGACATCTGTTGTGAGGGTGTTCCACAGGGAAGGCGCCACTACCGAGAAGGCCCTCTGCCTTTCCCCTGTAACTTGGCTTCTCGCAATGAGGGAACCGCCAGAAGGCCCTCGGTGCTGGACCTCAGTGTCCGGGTAGAACGATGGGGGTGGAGACGCTCCTTCACTTCTGGAACTTTAATCTCAAGTTAATTTTCTTCTCTGGAACAGAGACTCTGACACAGATGTCAGTCAACTACAAATACACAAACTGCATTCCTTGCTGTAGTTAACAAAACTGTATGTGTTGTTGTTGTTGTAGCTCCGTATTTTGGAAGAGAAGATTTTGGTTACTGCTCACACGTCATCTCCAAGGAGTCCACTGTTCTGCCCAACCCCAGTGCCCAGTCACCGCTGAAGCAGCTCCAAAATGAGCCTCCCCCTTTTCAGCCTAGAAGTGGAGAAAAGAAACCCGGACATTTGTCAAGCATGTCGTGCTCCACCATTGGAGGAAAACAGCTGGAGGAACCCACAGAACTGATGGGACTCAAGAAAGCGTGGCTGATGGACGGCCCTTTCCCTGGCGGCGATAAGGCTCAGACACCCTTAGCACTAAGCATGGGTGAGAAATGGTCACTAGATGTCCACTCTGGGGAAGGGAAGAGGATGTGGCAGTTTATTTTATGGATAATTTAAACAGGTTCCAATTTCAACCCATCAGATCAGACATAGCACTGATAAGTAGCAGCTATTGCATGTGATAAAGTCCTATCTCTGGGCCTATTTAAATGATAGCCAGCTTCACGTGAGATGCTTTCCTCCCTGCTGCCACCACACACTGGTGTTAGCCCTGGTCATGTCACTGGTTTGCTAGCTGCAGAAGTGGACATTACTGAATGTCGCAGCTATTGGCATGGTTTGTAGTGGTGTACAAAACTACATAAATTGTGTTGCCTTCCTGGTTAGGTTGTTAACAGAAATCCATTGGCAGTTGGTCTGAAGAAGAAGGGAGGGGAAGGGGCACATGACCCAGCTCATAGTGCTGTCAGTCGTGAAGGCAAGGGAGACGAAGTGGGAGGGAAGCCACATTTTACTGGGGTTGGAAGGGGCCATCAAAGTGTGTAGAATCCAGACTTATTGGAGAGGGAAGAGTATGGGAGACTCTCATGCATCAGCATTTTGTCTTGATGTTTCTTTGAATTTGGAACAAACCTTTTGCAAAATGTGCTTTGTTGTAGCTCACTACAAGGCTGCAAGACTACTCAGTTCAAAAGACACGGCGAGTCATTCACCATCATGGACAGAAGAATTCGCTTCCTCCAACCCTACACGCTTGGCGAGCAAGGAGGAAGCTCAGACCACATTTTCAGATGACCTCAAAATACGCAAAGGAAGTTCTTCCTTGGGGATTTCTGAAAGGCAGTCCTATCACCTTTTGGGCAGCGCCCAGGACTCAAGCGCAAGCAAAGCACAACTTGAAGAGATGCCCAGGAAAAAGAAAGTCTGGTTTTCTGATGCACCAGACACAGACAAGTTAAGGAAGTCCCATACGTTCTACTTGAATGGTAATACTGAGACATGCCATGGGGCTAGTGTAAAAGACTGGTGTACCCCCTAGTGTACCCCTTTCCCCTTCCTACTTCAGATGTCTTCTAAAAATCTGGTAGTTGTTTTTTCCTTTGACATCTGGTGGCAGGGTGTTCCACAGGGCAGGTGCCACTACTGAGAAGGCCCTCTGCCTGGTTCCCTGTAATTTCGCTTCTCGTAGTGAGGGAACTGCCAGAAGGCCCTCGGCACTGGGCCTCAGAGTCCGGGCTGAATGATGGGGGTGGAGACGCTCCTTCAGATATACTGGGCTGAGGCTGTTTAGGGCTTTAAAGGTCAACACCAACATTTGAATTGTGCTCGGAAACGTACTGGGAGCCAGTGTAGGTCTTTCAAGACCGGTGTTATGTAGTCTTGGCGGCCGCCCCCAGTCACCAGTCTAGCTGCCACATTCTGGATTAGTTGTAGTTTCCGGGTCACCTTCAAAGGTAGCCCCACGTAGAGCACAGTGCAGTAGTCCAAGCAGGAGATAACTAGAGCATGCACCACTTTGGTGAGACAGTCCGCAGGTAGGGTCTCAGCCTGCATACCAGATGGAGCTGGTAGACAGCTGCCCTGGACACAGAATTGACCTGCGCCTCCATGGACAGCTTTGAGTCCAAAATGACTCACAGGCTGCACACCTGGTCCTTCAGGGGCACAGTTATCCCATTCAGGACCAGGGAGTCCTCCACACCTGCCCGCCTCCTGTCCCCCCAAAACAGTACTTCTGTCTTGTCGGGATTCAACCTCAATCTGTTAGCCGCCATCCATCCTCCAACCGCCTTTGTTCCGATTCAGCAGCAAACAGCTGGGTTTCCCCAGGGAAAGTGGCAGGTCCAAAAACAAAACAAAACAAAACAAAATAAAACAAAACACCCTGCTCAGACCTTAACGTGGAAAGCATGGACGCTTTTCAAGAAAGCCTGGTGCAAAAGGAAGTCTGGATGAGCCCTCAGATAACAAGTTCACCAACAGAATATAGATGGATGAAAGTGTGATTGGCATCTCAACTACCACAGGAGATATATACATTTCAGACAAGCCTGTTTTTAATATAAGCTCTGGCCTCTTATAGCAAAGGCCCAGTATATCTACGAAGTAGCCTCTTTCTTTCACTTCCTTGTAGATATAGAGATTAATCAGAACAGCAAGAGGAATGGGCGCATCGTGGGAGAGATTGCCTTCCAGTTAGATAGGCGCATTCTTGCGCATGTGTTTCCTGGCATCACAAGGCTCTACGGGTTCACAGTGTCCAATATTCCTGAGAAAATCAAACAGGTGAGACCCAGCACTTTGAGGTAAATTTGTCTTTTTGTCAAAACATTAGTCACTTAGGTCTCAGAGATTTAGTGCAAAGCCTGCTTGGCCATAAAACAACTTCCTAAAGACGTCTATCTATTGGTATCACTCGTTATCACTCCATACCCAGTTGTTAACAACACCACAGTATCACATCCTGTTGAAGAAGCAACCATACCCTGTATTACCAGGGTGTACCTTAGTAGTTTCAGTTAACTCTAATGCAGCTGAAAATGACAGAGCAGATTTGTTCATAGGTCTGGAAAAGATTTACATTTCTGCTAAATTCAGCTAAGCTCCTCCTTAGTTTCTACTAAGTGCAGATAAGCACCATATTTAAATTGTTTTAACTGGAATGCATATGAGAATGAGAGGGAAATTATTGGTCCATATGGTGCCTCCAAATTTATTAGATCCTTATGGGCAGGGCTGGCCCAAAACATTTTGGCACCTGAGGCAAACCACAAAATGGTGTCCCAAAGTGAAGATCTGCCTTGTTAGGACCCAGGTGGGCAGGAGACCACTATTAGCCAAGAGGCAACTGCAGAGGCACTGGCAAGAGGCTGCCCAGGCAAAGCCCTCCAAGGAATGTGCCACAACGTTTGCTTGTCTACACTTCCACTTGTCGTGCTGCTTTCCCCCGAGGAAAACCTGCTCTTTACCACTGAATCGGGGCAAACGTCAGTTGGGTTTTCTGTACATTGATGCTTGCAAAGAGCTGGTTTTCCTGGGGAAAGTGGAGGGGCAAACAGATAGGGTGGATGAGCCTTTTGTAACGAGGCATTGCTCTGACACAGTGATGGGGGGATTCCAGATGGGGGCTTAATCGTGCAGATGGGTCACTGATGTATTGCAAATAGGCCATAGAATTTATTTTGAACCTTATCAGATTTTTTTCCTGGGAACAGCAAATCCTAATGAATACAGGTGAGTATTTTGACATCAGTGGCATTATGTGAATGCTGCAAAAAAACTTGCACGCACCGAAGCAATCATTCCATAATAAACACCACTCTGGAAGCAGCCATAATATCAGTAAACCCTTCCTTGTTTAGTTTTTGCATAGCGAAATTCTGCCCAACAGTTATCACTTCATTATATTGTTTATTTTTATTTGCTCTCTTGTCTCCTAAAAGCTGGCAGCAATTAAGTCTATGTTGCCCTGCATCTCTCTGTATCTTTTTAAAAAGCTATTTCAAGAGGGAATTCTGGTCTGTTTCTACTTAACCATAAATATACTGAAATCATTCATAGGCAACTAATATTCCCAAAGTGACTTTTTACTTACTTGTTTTTGCAGCTAACTGCAAAACTTGTTTTGCTCCTAACTCAAACTGCGATGCATTATCTGAAATTTGGATAGCACAACATTGTCTGAGGTGTAAACAACCCCAGTGCAATATTTTAAATAAATTGTTTTTCTTTGAGCTGCTGCTTTGGTGGACACTTTCAGTTTAAATTTCCTCAGCTAATTTACTATTCCCAGAAAAATTCTGAATATCTTGTGTGGATTGGGGTATCATTCAATGGGCAGAGCTCACGTCTTGTCAGATTCTGGAGACAATTTCTCACCGAGAGAACTCTGTTTCCCAAAATACACACTTGCTGTTAATATGCCTGCAAATCCATGCCCACTTTGGTCTTCTTTGGTGGGACCCAAGATAATGATATAATCCATTGATGTGTTTGCACTGGTAAAATGCTTGTGTATCATGGCCACAATCCAACATCAAATTAAGCACTCGTAGGTTTCTTGATTTTAGCAACTGAACTTTCGAAGCACAGACCTTTTCGCTTCCTGTTTTGTTAATAAATTCCATTTCTGCATCCATTACTTTACTCTTTCCCCTCTTTCTCCCCCCCCCCCAAATATTCAGACCTTGCCCAAATTGCACTGAGCTTCATAGTTTGCCCTATGGCAGGCAGAAACTTGTTACAAACGTCTAAAATTTCTTCCCTTACAAAACAATGCAACAAAACTTTTGATTTAACTTGACCCTATTTCTCCTCTGCTCCTATTGATGCTAAATTAACATTAGGATCTTTAGCCCTTTCCATAAAGTGCTAGCAATAGCTTTTTAAAATGTATATATGTCTGTGTATATGTGTGTGTATATCTAATGAAAATACCTAGGTCTCCATGAAATCCCTAGATGGCTCTGTGGACGAGAAGAAGTACCGAGCCATGACCCAGCGCTACCTGGACCTGACTGCTCGCCTGGAGAAGATGGGCTACCACGTGGACGTCCACCCGGTGTTCAGTGAATTCCTCATCAACACGTACGGCATCCTGAAGCAAAGGCCAGACCTCAGTTCCAACCCCTTGCACAACAGCCCCGCGGACCTCAGGAAGATGGTGATTGACATTGTCCCATCCAAGTTCCTTGGAGATACCTTGCTGCTCTTGAACTGTTTGTGTGAACTTTCTAAAGAAGACAACAAGGCCCTGTTTGCCTGGTAGTAGTGCACCTGCTGCAGCTCTTGCCCTCAAATCTCTACGGAAAGAACACACAAACAAACATAGCATATATGTAATAAAAGGATATCTGCTGAAAGTGGGCATGGAGTCGTGTGGATGCTTTTTGTAACAGGCTCCTGCTGACTTGAGTTGCTCCTTATGGAAGGGTTTGTTCATTTGCTTTCGGTTAACTGTTACTCTCTTGTTTTTTTATCGACTCTGTACTTTATATCTGACTTGTTCATAGCTGCTATGAGAGCCACATTTGGGCTAGATGGCGCATAATAAAGTTTAGTAAAAATAAACTATATAAGAAAATAAATGTAGTTGTTAGCACTCAGTTCACAAATGCCAAGTTAAAGTGCTGCACTGTTTGTTACATAAGGAAAGACGTGCCTGCCAGCTCTGTTTTCCCCTCACATTCTGCTTGAGATGCAGCCCTTGTTGTGACAGCCTGAATGAGCTTCTGAAAGGCATCTGTTCTCTGTAGCTCATACTCTAGGATGTTGCTTATGACTATTTATCTCCTATATCTGCCTAAAGAGCCTTCCCTTGTCTGAATTCTAGCTCCATGTGGTCATTGCAAGGGGGTCAGGAGTAAAAATTGTACATGTTGTTCTCCCCCATTGTCAGTTAACATGCTGTCTGGGTATGTGGACATCTGCCACGATCCTAATGAATGATTCTAGTAAAAATGGTGAAGATGCATGTATTTGCCTCCAGGTAGAGAGTTGCCAGCCCTGCTCTGGCCTCCTTTGGTTTGCTGATCCATCTGCCATGGATGCTTTAGCTGAGAATCCTGCATTGCAGAGACTAGATTACCCTTGAGGTTCCTTCCAACTCAACAGTTCTATGATTCTGTGATAATTGCAGTTTCAGCTGCTTATAGTTACAATGAAGAGTTCTTTGGCTTTGTATGCTCCTTGCAATTTTGCTTATTCCTTTAAACCACTTCCTGCCAAAACATTCTGTGGTGATGGCATTCCCAAGGTAAGCAAAGTCTATTTTCCTACAGAAATTCTAGAACTCGCTGTGAGAAAGAGCATATTCTCTAACAGTCTTCCAGTCGCTTCTGGATGGAACAGCAAAACCACAAACAATTATAATGAAAAATATTTCGGATGCTATAAATAAACTTAGACAACTTCATCTCAGCGAATGTCGTTTCTTATGAACATTTATATCCCACAATATCCCACAACCACACATCAGCTTTTCCATCTCTGCTTGCTTCATGGGCAAGAAAATGTGAAACAACTTTCTTTTGATCCATAGATCTTAAGATGTTTAGCAACACTAGTTGTTTCAATAGCTGTGGAGTTGTGTAGATCTATTTGTCTTCAAACTAGATTTATAGATTCTACACGTGATATTAAATGTGTGATCATATTTGCACATGTGGTTTGTTAAAAACCAAGAACTGTCATTTTACAACACCTGCACCTGAACCCCAGTCTGGATCAGGATGGTTGGGGTGTTAAACTTTTTATTTCCCTCCCCCACTTTCATTCAGATTCACTTTGGGGGGGGCACACAAAAAAACTCCATTGTTAAAATAAATTTGTTGCCCAATTGTGATTCTCTAGATAACCTCCCTTAGCCTGTAAAAGAAAAACAACAACATCATACAAGTATTGTGGCCCCTGGTAGGGAAGGAGACTCATTCAGGTATGAGGTTTCAGAGAATAGTGCCCACCTTGTTAGATGCATAAATTAGCAGCAACTTTCATGCAGTTTTTATAACTGTGGGGTGAATTCTTGTGAGAATAGTTTGACTGTTTTCGAGGTAGCATTTTACTTTAAGGGACAATGTGCTGCTGTGGGATGATGACCAAAGATGAAGACAGGCTTCAGAAGCAGAGAGGACAGTCCAAAGTGCCATGGAGGGCTGTTTGGAATAGTTAATGAGAAATCCCGGAGGTAGAGGAAGGTCATTGGCTTTAAGCCAGAGAGTTTCCTGATCCCATAGTTCCATTTTGTCACCCAGAGCAGAAGAGGGGGGAATCATCCAGGACTCCCCACAACTCTAAGAAAGAAAACATAAACAGAGCAATGTCAAAATTAGTGGAGTGTGTCCCCAATTTTTCTGAAGGCAACAACAAAGAGGTAAGTTCAGAATTGGTTTTTGTATAAAGACAGTTCCTTGTGTGGCAATATGGTGGCAATATAATACTGGTGAAACCACAAGATCTATTTTCCCCCTGTCTAAATTAGTTTTGCAAGTCTGAGTTCAAAGCATATTTGAATCACCTGTCCATGAGAAATTAATTTTGAAAACAGTTTTACAGGTGTACTGAAATTCTAACCCCATATCAGCTTAAATATACAGAAGAAAACTTCAATCTTCTATTAATAAAACCTAAGTTTAATATAACCAACAGCAAAAATCAAATTAAAAGGGAGAGGAGGGGGAAATACTTCTAAGTGTAAATGATGTAAAAATTGAAAATACAATGTTTGGGGTAAACTTAATGATTTGACATGCAAATGCAGTGCTTTTGGAGGGAGCTTTCTTCTCAGGGTTTACCTGCATTTTTTAAAAATGAAGTGAATGCATATTACTTTTGCATGTTACTTTACTAGATTATAAGCCCATCTGCTCTTGGCTGGGTGTGTGGTGGAGAAGCTTCTTAGCAGCTTTGTTTCACTGAAACTCTTTTGCTTTATTCAGAAAAAACACATGATCACACAGAGAAGGAAGAAAAAAAAAGAAATGTCGCCTCTCTCACTGTGTCCTTCCAACCTTCTGCATAACATCACCACCATTAACCTGTTGTTTTCTCTTGCTGCCCAACGTAGATAACACACAAAACCTGTCCTGCCTCTATTATGTAGGGTAGAAAGGGTTGGGCTGGATACAATCAGACGCCATATTGAATGCCAGACAGTGGACTGAACCTTTCAAAACTGCACTGACTTCAAAACTGCATGGATTTTTTTATTGGTTTCTTAGAATTCCCATGCAATACCAAGTACAAGGCTGCTGGTCAGTTATAAAATAGTACAAAAATATACAATTTTATTACATGCAGAGAATAATATGTGCTGAGAAACCAGAGAGAGGAGCTGAGGGGGTGGTGGTGGGAGGATGGGTTTTTCTTTTTGGGGGGGAGAGGGGGAAAATGGGGGGAGGGAAATGTGGATGATATATTTTTGATAAATTGTTATGTTGAAATCCCTAATAAAAATATTTAATAAAATAAAATAAAATAGTACAAAAATAGTCTGAAGCCATGATATAAAATTAACTAACACACCCAATAAACCCACTAAATATACCGGTACCTTCATATCAGGCAGACCCACTTGAGCTTACAGGGCTTTTTTGGTTCAGCAGCACCATCCCTCGAAAGTGCCAGCCCCCCAGTAAGGTAGCCCACTAGCAATAGGTGCCCAGTCTGATTTCCTTTTCTCGGCCTGCTCCCACCGATGTGTCTGTCAACTAGGATAAGGGGTATGGGATTCCCACTGCCTCATGGTGGTCTACTGGGAAACAGGGAAACATCTGGATTCCAAGTGTCTTCAGCCCCTCCCCCTCCCTTGCTCTCCCAAGCAGGTATGCATGCGCCAAATGAAACTAATGCAGCTAATCCCACACAAAGCAAAACTAGCAGAACCAAACAGCAAAGAGATCTTTGGGTTGTAATGGATATCTCATTTGATGTTGATGTGAACAATACATCAATTTAATATGCAGCAGGAAAAGGCAAAATCCACGTTAGGGATCACTAGGAATGGGTTTCCTCTTTTTATTTTTCTAAATGTGACATGAGCATTTATTCACTTAAAAGAGTTGTCACTTTGAAAGCAAAATCCATTCTGAAAGACCTGCAAAGCTGCTTTAAGTTGCTTGTGATCCCACAACCAGCAGCCAGTCCAAAGAGTACAAATGGCAGAGCTACTTTCCCTGAGCTCATTGGCAGGGGTGTGCGTGCGCTTCAGCCATTATGTATTTTGTGGTTCTTATATTGTAATTCTATGTTGTGAACCACACTGAGGTCTACGGATAACAACCCTGACTTGACCACTTGCACAATATGCACACGCATGGACTGCACTCTTTGATCAGTGGATTTGCTTGCTCCCTGAATAGTCTGAAGCCATGAGCATGAGGTCCATGCGCTCTAACAGGCTCTGCTCTGCACAGGTGATTGATGAGATTGCCAAGGCCATCTCTCAGACCGAGGGCTGCATGCTCCTGGATGTGGATGCAGGCCCTTCCACCAATCGGACCGTTTACACCTTCGTAGGAAGTCCTGAAGATATAATTGAAGGTGCACTGAATGCGGCCAGAACAGCTTTTCAACATATCGACATGGCAAAACATAAAGGTAATCAGAGTGAGATAAGTGTTAATCATAGAGAGTAAGACAGCCAAACAAGTTTTTATTGATGGCGCCTTGTTCAACTACTTTGCAGCCTTTCTCATACTCTGAGCAGCTTGTTTTGTCCTAGATCCGGAAGAAACTAGAAATAACCTGTGAGAGGCAACGTGTACCTATAAAGGAATGGAATTTGGGATCCCACAGCGCTGGGCATTTCTACATGCTAACTCTCTGGGTTCTGATAGTTAAGGTGGGGCCTATGGAACCAGTTTGAAAGATCAGCCAGGAAAACCACGTGGCCTTGGACAAGTTCGTCCTTTTCTCCTTTCAGCATAACCTACCTTGTGAAGTTGCTGTAAGGATACAATTGTCAGAAGCCAGAGTCAATAGTAGGTCAGCATAAAAACACCAGTGTCAGGGAAGTTAACTCTGTGCAATGAAACCAGAACAGCTCAAACCCAGTGAGCCCAATAATTCTCCCCAGTAGATCTTGCTCCAATGAGTCGGTTGCAAGGGCTGAAGGGCCCTGTCTTCCCACAGCTCCCTAAGAGTCCACCTCCACCATGTCCTTCCCAAACAGCCTGAGACTTCTCTGCCTTTTCTGTCTTCGTTCTGCCCTCTTCATACTGGGAGACCAGGGGGGAGGGGAACTAGTTGTTCTCCTCCAGCCTCCTCCTCTGCCTCTGATTCTGGACTGCTCTCTGCCACAGCCTCTCTCTGCTCACTAAACCCTGTTGCCTCTTCAGGTTACGCCACCTCCTCCTCCCAGTCCGCTCCCTCTTCTCCCTCTGACCAGGCATCATCATCCCACTCCCTGGCTCTGAGCTTTCTTCCCCTGGGGGTTCCCTGGCTGGTGCCTCCCACCAATCCTCTGCACCCAGCCAGTTCATAACAACAACACAATTACTCTCCTGTGTGTTAGCCTGAGCTCCTTGAGTAAGTAACAAATAAACAAATGCAGTAAACAAATGCAATCAATCAATAAGTATTCACCTCTGAGCCTGAGAATCATTTCCAATTTATTCCAAGTTACACAACCTTACAACAGTCTTACTTACCCAACTGTGGATTCAAGAGGAGAGGTCATGCGTCCCTGAAAGCCTGTCACTGAAACCCATAAATAGGAATCTTTAGGACGAAAATGTAACACAAGTCCACAACAGGCCTCAATACAAATAACTCATCATTAGGTTGCTTTTGATACACAAATTGCTTTACAATTTACCATACACCTCCTGAATCATAGAATTGTAGAATTGGAAGGGAGCCCAATGTTCATCTAGTCCAACCCCCTGCAATGCAAAAATCTCAGCTAAAGCATCCATGACAGATGACTGTCCAATCTCCCTTGCCTCAGTATCATGAAACCAAAGAGGACACAATCACTTATTCCCACGTTTCTGAGTACTTCCACTTCGTCAATCAGTTCTTCCCTGTTGGTGAGGACCAGGTCCAAGATAGATGACCCCCTTGTTGCTTCTTCCACCTTCTGGGAAATGAAATTGTCAGTGAGGCAATGGAGGAATTAGTTGGACCTTACATTCTAGGCTGAGTTTGAGTTCCAACAGATATTTGGGTAGTTTTAGTCTCCCATGACTACCATATCTCTCCATTTTGAATGTCTGGTAATCTGCTCTAGGAAAGCATCATCCAAGTCTTCAGTTTGGCTTGGAGGTCTATAGCAGACATCCACAGGAAGGTCACTGTTGTTTCTCTCTCCTACAATGTTTACCCATATACTGCTTTTGATGCTCCAAGTCATGGATTTCTTCACAAGTGCACACATCCTTTACATATAATGTTCCTCCTCCTCCCTTCCTGTTTGGTCTATTCCTTTTGAGCAAGTTATACCCCTCAATTCCTACATTCCAGTCATGAGTCTCATCCATCAGGTTTCAGTAACGCCTATTAGTTCATATTTGCCATCCTGTATTATGAGTTCCAATTCATCTTGCTTGTTTCCCATACTCTGTGAATTAGTATACAGATGAAACTATGAGTCATTCCATCCATCCGCTTCCTTCTAGTACTTTCCTGTCCTTTAGCAGGTTTCGGTAGCACCACCTCAGTTTCCTGTGCACCAGTGAAGCTATTATCCCCAGTACCAGGTGTTCTTCTGGTTCTTCATAGAATCATAGAATCATAGAGTTGGAATAGACCACAAGGGCCATCGAGTCCAACCCCCTGCCAAGCAGGAAACACCATCAGAGCACTCCTGACATATGGTTGTCAAGCCTCTGCTTAAAGACCTCCAAAGAAGGAGACTCCACCACACTCCTTGGCAGCAAATTCCACTGTCGAACAGCTCTTACTGTCAGGAAGTTCTTCCTAATGTTTAGGTGGAATCTTCTTTCTTGTAGTTTGGATCCATTGCTCCGTGTCCGCTTCTCTGGAGCAGCAGAAAACAACCTTTCTCCCTCCTCTATATGACATCCTTTTATATATTTGAACGTGGCTATCATATCACCCCTTAACCTCCTCTTCTCCAGGCTAAACATGCCCAGCTCCCTTAGCCGTTCCTCATAAGGCATCGTTTCCAGGCCTTTGACCATTTTGGTTGCCCTCCTCTGGACATGTTCCAGTTTGTCAGTGTCCTTCTTGAACTGTGGTGCCCAGAACTGGACACAGTACTCCAGGTGAGGTCTGACCAGAGCAGAATACAGTGGCACTATTACTTCCCTTGATCTAGATGTTATACTCCTATTGATGCAGCCCAGAATTGCATTGGCTTTTTTAGCTGCCGCGTCACACTGTTGGCTCATGTCAAGTTTGTGGTCAACCAAGACTCCTAGATCCTTTTCACATGTACTGCTCTCAAGCCAGGTGTCACCCATCTTGTATTTGTGCCTCTCATTTTTTTTGCCCAAGTGCAATACTTTACATTTCTCCCTGTTAAAGTTCATCTTGTTTGTTTTGGCCCAGTTCTCTAATCTGTCAAGGTCATTTTGAAGTGTGATCCTGTCCTCTGGGGTGTTAGCCACCCCTCCCAGTTTGGTGTCATCTGCAAATTTGATCAGGATGCCCTTGAGTCCATCATCCAAGTCGTTGATAAAGATGTTGAATAAGACCGGGCCCAAGACAGAACCCTGTGGCACCCCACTAGTCACTCTTCTCCAGGATGAAGAGGAACCATTGATGAGCACCCTTTGGGTTCGGTCAGTCAGCCAGTTACAAATCCACTGAGTGGTAGCATAGTCAAGACCGCATTTTACCAGCTTCTTTACAAGAATATCATGGGGCACCTTGTCAAATGCCTTGCTGAAATCAAGGTAGACTACATCCACTGCGTTCCCTTCATCTACCAGGCTTGTAATTCTGTCAAAAAACGAGATCAGGTTAGTCTGACATGACTTATTTTTCAGAAATCCTATGCTGTGGTGATCACAGCATTCCTTTCCAGGTGCTCACAGACTGTTTGCTTAATGATCTGCTCCAGAATCTTCCCTGGTATTGATGTCAGACTGACTGGGCGATAATTATTTGGGTCCTCTCTTTCCCCCTTTTTGAAAATAGGGACAACATTTGCCCTCCTCCAGTCTGCCGGGACTTCGCCTGTTCTCCAGGAATTCTCAAAGAAGACTGCCAGTGGTTCTGAGATCACATCTGCCAGTTCTTTTAATACTCTTCGATGCAGTTCATCTGGCCCTGGAGACTTGAATACATCTAAACTAGCCAAGTATTCTTGTACTATCTCCTCATTTATTCTGGGCTGTGTTTCCTCTGCTGAATCATTTGCTCCAAATTCTTCAGGTCGGGCATTGTTTTCTTTATCGGAGAAGACTGAGGCAAAGAAGGCATTGAGGAGTTCAGTCCTTTCTGTGTCCCCTGTTTGCATTTCACCATCTTCTCCTCTGAGTGACCCCACTGTTTCTTTGTTCTTCCTTTTGCTACGGACATACCCATAAAAGCCTTTTTTGTTGCTTTTAACCTCTCTAGCAAGCCTGAGTTCATTCTGTGCTTTAGCTTTTCTGACTTTGTCTTCTGACTTCTGTCTTCTGTAATGTTGTCTCTCTCAGGATTTAGTTTAAAGCTCTCCCAATCAGGTTCTTGTCAACCACCGCGAGAAGTCCTGTCTCCAGGAAGTGGAGACCATGGTCCAAGAAGCAAACCCTTTTCAGATGACACCACCTGCTGAAGGGTCTTGGGGCGCCGCCCGTCTTTCCTGTTGAAGGTTGGGGCTTGTATATGTGAAAATAGCAAGCATGGAAACAATGTAGCTGACCCCAAGTCACACCTGTGTACTTACTAAACTTTTGTCCTCTTTAGTAACAAGATGATGTTACTAAAATACTGTACCAAACACCAGTATATAGGACAGATATCTGTGACGTATTTCTAATGGATTGTTTTGAGGCATAGGCTTGAATTTGTGGTGAGTAACTTTTTATCCTAAAATATATTCCACTTAATCGGTTACTCTTTCCATGAGATTCAATGACTCTTTGTATTCAAATGCAGCTTCTTGTAAAGTCCAGTTTTCTCTGTATTTTATATTCTCTTTCCCAAAATTGCTGTTTTCCTTCCTTCTGATTTCCTTCTGATTTCTGAAGGACTGCCTTCCTCTCCTAGGTGAACATCCTCGGATGGGAGCCCTGGATGTTTGCCCCTTCATCCCAGTGAGGAATGTTACTATGGAAGAATGTGTCCAGTGCGCCAATCTGTTTGGGAAGCGTTTAGCAGGTGAACTGCATGTGCCAGGTGAGTTGGGTTTGCAAGACAGCACCTGGTCACTCCAGGCCACCAAGTGAAATTCCTTCAAAAATCTCTGTTGGCCACTGTAATGTATGCCTTATCAACTAAATATCTGGCATGTGGCACCTTTAAGGTAAACAGCTGTGACCCATGGGGTCAGCTCCTGGAGAGCTGATTAAGAAGGGTGGTCTGGCTGAAGCAGGTAGTTTCAACTCTGGAGGCCCCCAGTCCTTGTCAAGAATAATGTTTGATTTGCCATTAACCCAGCTTGTGGTGTATTCCTATATGAACATCAGAAGACAAAATAGCCACCTCTCTCCTCATTTAGTTCTCCCTTCTTCTTGTGGGCAGGTTTGTACCCTACATTGCCTTGATGTTTTGGCACATACGATGTGCACAGACATTCCAGATAAAGTGTGCTGGGGAGGTTGGATGGTGTCCACTGGACCCGGTCTCCATGGGGACATCTGTCCAGGGAGCCTATGCACACAGACTCTGTATGTGCCATTGGTAGGGAATGTGTGTTATGAACCTATGCATGCTGGTCAATATCTGTGTTGGTTCCCTGTGCTATCACCTTTTCTGGGTAGTCTAACATCACAGCACAATGAAAATATCAGATTCTATCTGTCTGGTGTTAACCCGGAAGTAACTGCAAGGGTGGCTGAGTTTTTATCAATAGTATCTCTTAGAGTGGTGAATGGCACTATTTAGCGGGAAGAAACTCCAATGAAAATCCTTGTTATTACATATTTTTACATGGCTGCTTATTTGTATATATTTTAAAATTTTATATATGTCTGTTTTATGATGGCCTATATTTGTAATGCCTAATAAAGGTTCCCTGTGCAGTTAGGCACTCTGTTCCCCAGAGGCCAGGGGCAGGGAAGGGGCAGGAGATGTGATCCTGTGCCCCTGAAGGACCAGGTACGCAGCCTGGGAGTCATTTTGGACTCACAGCTGTCCATGGAGGCACAGGTCAAATCTGTGTCCAGGGCAGCTGTTTACCAGCTCCATCTGGTACGCAGGCTGAGACCCTATCTGCCTGCAGACTGTCTCGCCAGAGTGGTGCATGCTCTAGTTATCTCCCGCTTGGACTACTGCAATGCGCTCTACGTGGGGCTACCTTTGAAGGTGACCCGGAAACTACAACTAATCCGGAACGCGGCAGCTAGACTGGTGACTGGGAGCGGCCGCAGAGACCACATAACACCGGTCTTGAAAGACCTACATTGGCTCCCAGTACATTTCCGAGCACAGTTCAAAGTGTTGGTGCTGACCTTTAAAGCCCTAAACGGCCTCGGTCCAGTATATCTGAAGGAGCGTCTCCACCCCCATTGTTCTACCCGGACACTGAGGTCCAGCACCGAGGGCCTTCTGGCGGTTCCCTCACTGCGAGAAGCCAAGTTACAGGGAACCAGGCAGAGGGCCTTCTCAGTAGTGGCACCTTCCCTGTGGAACACCCTCGCACCAGATGTCAAAGAGAACAACAACTACCAGGCTTTTAGAAGACATCTGAAGGCAGCCCTGTTTCGGGAAGCTTTTAATGTTTGATGTATTATAGTATTTTAATATTCTTTTGGAAGCCGCCCAGAGTGGCTGAGGAAGCCCAGCCAGATGGGCGGGATATAAATAATAAATTATTATTATTATTATTATTATTATGATCAATGCCGCCGCCACCACACGATGACTTTCTGCATTTGCTGAGTGGTGTGAGGTGCTCTGTAAAGCAGTGAGTCCCATGCACCATTGTGCGGCTGGAAGCTTCTTGAAATAACTCTGTTGCAAGCCAGCTCCTGGCCAGTGGCCATCTGGCTGTGAGTAGCTTGTGTGGATGCAGCGTTTTTTGAATGACACCAGAAGCCAGCATTCTCAGTAGGCATGTCTGGCTTATTTGTGTACCCCCAACGGCAATCACACAAAGACCCAGCTAACCCCTGGGATGCAGTACACAACTCACAAGTTCCCCAGCACTCCCTGATTGGCACCAGCACCACAGGGCAGCAAGCTTGTTGCACCACAGAGTTCAAGAGGTGGGTCTGTCCATGGAAGGCAGCCCCCTGCAGTCTCCTTTCCCCAGGGCCTCCCCAAACCTGGAACCAGGCCTCCTGCTCCCTCCTTTCCCCTGACTCTTGAGTCCTGCAAAACCAGCTTCTTTAGGTTGCAGCCTGGCAACTCCCTGACTGGACCCATGTGCTTTCTCAGTAAATCTGCCTCTCTTTTGCAGTGTATCTCTATGGCAAAGCAGCTCTGAAGGAAAGCAGAATATCCTTGCCAGCCATTCGAGCAGGAGAATATGAAGCCCTCCCTGAGAAAGTAAGACTACGTGTTGCTTGCAACAACAGCTGTACTGCCAACCCTTAGATCAGCGGTCAGTGCCCTAGTCTGGGTAGCAAGGGAGGCGTTTTAAGAAGGGATGCTCAGATTTTATTGGATGGAGCTGGTTTACGGTTACAGCACAGCTGGCATAATGGAACTACCACAGCTGCAGCTTCAAGCTCCTGCTTACTGTTGTACTAGTTGCTAAAGTGTGAGCAAGTCTTTCCTTTTTTTTTTTAAAGGATATTTATTAAAGTTTCAACATTTTACAAAATAAGAAAAAAAACAAAAACAAAGTAAAAACAGTTAAAAACAAATCAGTTTTTCCAAATCTTATCTGTCACTTGCTTGTTTCCCTGACCTCCTCACACCTCCCTTTTTGTATTCCAGTTCAATTAGTTAGTTCAGCAAATCCTTTCCCTTTTTGATTTTATCTTAATCCTTTATCTTAATATATTATAACTTTGTATTATCACCTGTTAGCAAACCATTTTACATATTCCTTTATAACATTGCTACTAAAAACCGCTTAACTTCAATCCAACATCATTCTAACATTCCTTAATTTTGCAGTGTTTCTGTAAATAGTCTTTAAATTTCTTCCAATCTTCTTCCACCGACTCTTCTCCCTGGTCTCAGATTCTGCCAGGAGGAAGTCTTTCCCAGTACTTGTGTGTGCACAGAGTGGAGACGCCCTCTCATTCCTGCTCGTGAATCATTCCTGCAATGGTCCATGTGGATTCTGCAATCCAGCTTCATTGTTAGGTGTATTTATCCATGGCATTTGCATCAGATTTGACTTACAGATTCCTTTTAATAGAAATGAGAAGAACATTCAAAATACACATGGCCACTTGGGCAAATTTCTTTGAGCACATTAGCTCAGAATATAAGTTTCTACAGTGGTACATCGGGTTACAGACGCTTCAGGTTACAGACTCTGCTAACCCAGAAATAGTACCTCGGGTTAAGAACTTTGCTTCAGGATGAGAACAGAAATCGCGTGGGGGTACAGCGACAGCGGGAGGCCCCATTAGCTAAAGTGGTACCTCAGGTTAAGAACAGTTTCAGGTTAAGAACAGACCTCCAGAATGAATTAAGTTCTTAACCCGAGGTACCACTGTATTTTAAAGAGCTACTGAAAATACCAAATTGTGTTGATTTAATCTCAAGATAAAAAGTTGCACGAATAAATTCCAGTGCAGGAATCCCCAGGTGAAAGTGTTCCAAATGATTTTTCTGAGGAGACTGAGGACCGTGCTGCTTTCCCTTTCACAGTCCTCGCCACGGAGCCCATGCTCTCCTGGGCATGCTTAGTCCATGGTAGGGCCCACTGACAAACCAAGAGCAGACAGTAAACACGATAATCGTTTGCATTCATCATCACACATCACAGTTCTCAAGGTAACAAATACCTCTGGAGTGCCCAGCAAGCCCGCTATCTGGCTCTTACATAACTGGGTCTATCTAACAGTGAAATTGTTATTATTACTGGAATATTACAACCCCCTCTTTTTCTTTGTTTTGTTTTTTTTAGCTAAAAAACCCAGAATGGGCTCCTGATTTTGGCTCTGCAACCTTTGTTCCAAGATGGGGAGCCACAGCAACAGGCGCACGGACATTCCTCATAGCCTACAACATCAATTTGCTGTGTACAAAGGAGCTGGCACACCGGATAGCACTGAACATTCGGGAGCAAGGCCGCGGAAAGGACCAGGTATTCCTGTGTCCAGGGAAGAATTGGCTTGCAGATTCCCCCCTCCCATTGGAATCCTCCCACAATTCAGAAAAGGGCAAGGAAAGGAGAGATCTCCCCAATTTCCTCCCGTAATCGCTAACCCTGTATTACTCTTCATTTTTATCACACTACATGCATAGAGTAGGCTATGCAGGCCACAGATGATGGCAGGGGGAACATATGAGTTCACTCATTGCTCACTGAAACTGGCAGCTTGCGCCAGAGCTGTCAGGAATCAAGGTCTGACTAGAAGCCTGAGGGATTTGAATCTTCTTTTCAGGGTCTCCTGGGGAAAGACAAAAGTCCTAGGCTGGGAATATGGAACCAAAGGAGTGAACTCTCCTAAGAGTGATTAGATTTTTGCTGTGGTCTTTTGGCCCCTACAATTTACAGCTCTTTCCTCTGCTTCTTTAAGGGTAGCTGATGAAGCAGACTCCAGTCCATCAGCCCCCATGCTATAATAATCTTTAAAGTGCCACAGGGTTCCTTGTTGTCATTTGGATATGTGATGAAGCGAATGTATGAAGAGTCTCAAAACAGAAATATTTGGGGAATGGGGTAGGAACTTTAAAATCTGGTAGGAATATGAGAGGAACGTTAGCTTTTGGCTGCTGGGGTTAAGAAGACAGGAAGTGGTTGGCTCCTGTTTGCCAGCTTCCCATCTTATTCTGTAGATGGTTGAAATTCTTGCTCCTGTTTGTCCTTTGTAGCCTGGGCGATTGAAGCAGGTGCAAGGCATGGGCTGGTACTTGGACGAGGAGAATATTGCTCAGGTTTCTGCAAATTTGCTGGACTTTGAGACCACGCCACTGCACACCGTCTATGAGGAGGTCTGCAAGGATGCCCAGGTGAGCTGGACAAGGAGGTTGTGCCAGAGCATCCCAGAGATGACCTGAGCTAAGACCTTTGGGGTGAAATGTGTCGGGAGCAAGGAGTTGCAGCCCAAAGCTCTTGAGGCTGTGCCTTTGGCTCACTTTTATGGAGCTGCTCTCTGGTTACAGAAGAACTGATTGCAGCACAGCACACAAAGAGAGAGAGAGAGAGCTACCAGTTTGCGTAGGCATTGGCAGCTGGGCTAAGAGCAGGGGATCTGGGGGCTGTCTGGCCCTTTAGCTCACTTCCTGCCCTCTGCTACAAACGCTGCAGAACAGCAGGCGAAGAGAGGGAAGGGACTGCTGCTCAATTGCATATGGAAGCCAAATATTCCCCGATATGGCACCAGAAGAAAGGGACGTCTCCCCTTTTCACCTGCACGGGGGTTACCCTCCTTTCCCGGTGCCCCAAACACAGTGGGCGAGCTTTGCCTGTCCTCAAAGAGCCCTCACACAGCAATGACCACCTACGAGTCCGCAAGGGTTAGGGCTGAGGTTTCTGCTTGGCACTAAAGATACCAGACAAACGATCCCACTTCCAGCCATGCAAACCTTTCAAAACATGCTCGGCTTCCTATGAACTGGAAAAGCATCGCTTGCAGGCTGAGATTGCATTGGTTATACCTTCTTCTCTGAGTGTTATTTGAAAACATTTCTGTTTTGAGAGTTTTGGGTTATTTGGATTATTTTCTAGTCTATGCAGTAGTGGGAACTTGCGGTGGTAGAAACTTAAGCGTCATTTGAAGAGACCGGGGTTCATGTTGCATCTCTGCCAGAGACTTGTTGCCTTGAGCGTGTGTCTGGATCCCTGGGGTTGTGCTGGACTGCTGTCAAATCCCTGTTCTTGTTTCTAGGATCTCAATCTGCCAGTGGTGGGATCTCAGCTGGTGGGTCTGGTCCCCAAAAAGGCCATGCTGGATGCAGCAGAATATTATATTAACAAAGAAAATCTATTCATCCTTGAGGAGGAACATAAAATCAGACTGGTAACTTGCTTCTTCAAAACAGAAAGGAGTGAAATACTTGAGTATCCTATGAAATGTATTAATAGGATTCTCCTTTTCCACACATCCTTTCACTCTGTTTCCCAACTGGCTTACTGTGTTTTTGCCTTACTATATAGTGAGAATGGTTGACATGTGGGAGGGATGTAGAGAATTCTGATGGCAACGGGAGCAGAAATTCCCTGGTTTTGCTTATTCACCCTGAGTGAAGAACAGAAATCCATTCAGAGAATATGATTAGTAGTAGCTGTTGCTGTTGTTGACAGTCTGCAGATTATACATAATTGACTACTTCTCCATTTGCATTAAATTTCCTTTGCATTGAAATAAATGTTGTGGAATAATGTAATAGTAACATAATAAATTATGTAAAATTCTGCCATAGTGGATAATGAGACGCATTACAAGCTGCAGTAGAATGGAAGCAGCACTGCATGTGATAAACCATGAGTTGGCACCAGTCTTTTCCATGCCTAAACTGTGACCAGGGCTGCCCCGAGACATTTTGGCACCTGAGGCAAAACACCACTGCCTGCTGGGCCCCTGCTGTTCTTTTTCTGTGCCCTTGCTTTGGTATGGGGGTGGGGGAGGCAAGATTCCACAAGGACCTCTCCTTGAGGAAAAGTCCTTGCAGAGCCTCACTGCCCAGGGGAGGGGTGAGACACTGCAGGTGGACTGAGGCTCTGGCCAGCAAGCCGCTGCTGTGAGGGACCAGGAGGTGGCAGCAGCCAAGTGGGCTGGCGAGGTTCTGCATGTGGCTCCAGCTGCCTCCTTCCTTTCTTCCCCTTAATGGCCCATCGCCCAGGCTATCACCTCACCAGGAAACTAGCCTGGCACTTCCAAGAATTAGAAGGGGGCTTCAGCCTGCGCCTGGCAAAAAAATATCCTATAACTATATGTATGGTATATTTTAATGTAGTTGTTATTTTTATTGAAATGTGGTGTGAATCTAGAAGCCTTTGAGTTGAAGGGCAGACTCAAACGAACAAATAAATAGTTTTTGAAGTAAAAGAAAGAGTGGGGGATTCTGAACAGATCTGAGAATGGTTTCATCTGTTCTGCAGGAAGCACATTTTGAATTTTGATAGACACTCAGACTCTTGGGATTGGAAAAGATGGACATCTAAATAAATAAAAAAAGGGGGTGGGGCAAGGATATGCCTGAGAAGTGGAACAGCTTGAAAGTTCTGTTTAGATTCATGGTGCGGGATGTTGTTACGCTTTTTTAAAGGAGGTACAAACACTTGTACAAAATAAATAGATCACACACACTCTCAAAATGGAGAGACAGTTTGTGGGATGTGGGGTGAACTGCCCTGTTTTATCAAGTAATTTTCTTGAAGATCTGAAACCCCTCCCCACCAATTCTGTATTCCCCAGATTATTTCAGTTTATGTTTAGTGCAGTGAATCTTTTTTCATTTTCCATTCTCAGGTAATCAACCGACTGGGGCTGGACTCTTTGTCTCCTTTCAATCCCAAGGAGCGCATCATTGAGTACGGATGTTTTCATTGTCCTCCTTCCGTTTTTTGTTTGTTTGCTGGGCACTGTACATTTGGCAAGCTTGGCTGGGTTGGGTGCAGGCCTACACCACAGGATACTCCTGGAAGTCCACTAGCTTGTCTTACATCCCTTTCCATTGCAAACAGGACCATAGGAAGTGCTGGGAAGCTGTGGGCAAGTGAGTCTGGGGTTGGGGTGACCCATGTCCTAGCTTGAAAGGAAGGAAGCAATGGGCCACTGGCTTCCCTACATTTCATTATTTGTGTCAGTAAAATTCTGGTACCTGTGTGTTGCTCTTTGCTTCCAGAGATGCTCACTGGCAGTTTGAGGGTCACAGGAATGCCCAGCCCTAATCTGGGGGAGGTTTGTGAGGTTTTGAGTCAGATTTGACGGTTGTTTGCCCCACCTGCTTGAGATGTAAATAAACAGTTTCATGTGCCATCACATTTTCAAAGGGAGTGAGTTTTGCTTAGAGAATGCAAGACCAATTCCTAGAAAGAGACAAAGCAATCCTCCCTGCCCTTGGTTCACCAGGGACAATGCTAGCGAAAGGCTGTATTCTGCTAATATTGTAAGTGCTACTTTGAATCTTTGCAAAAGACTTACCATCCTACATACGGCAGAGAGATGCCTTCTCCTTCCTTGACTTTAGTTCATTCTGTCCTCTTGATGTACGTGAATGTGCTTTTCCTATGTCCTTCTTGTCTTCCGAAGGGATATGGTGCAGGATGGCAAAGAGAGCGGCTGCCTGATATCCTTGCCTCTTCACACTTTTGTGCAGAAAGTTGGTGCCAGGTCAGCTGCTCCTGGAGGAGGATCCGTAGCAGCAGCAATGTCTTCTTTGGTACATGAGCCACTTGTTTTTATTATGTTATATAGATTGCTTGTGCACCTTGCACATAAATCGGACAGGGCTGGCTTCCAAGTCCAGATGGGAGACTTGAATTTAGTCAAAAGTAGAGTGTAATCTGCATTGAGAGTATTGATATCACCTAAATCAGGGCGTCATTGGACAGTGCCATTTCTTCTTGCCCTATTCCCATTAAAGTTTCTCTTAGCCTCTGGGTTGGGAGGACTGGAAAAATCAATGTGTTTATTAATATTGCACATATGGAAACAGTAAGATGAATTAAAACGGACTCTTATTGAAATAAAAATTGTGCAGTCCAAAAATATGGTTCCAAAGCTTAACTTACAGAATTTGTTCCAAAACAGACACTCCAAATAATAATGTTCCCCAGAGTGGCAGGGGAAACCCAGCCAGATGTACGTGGTATTAATAATAATAATAATAATAATAATAATAATAATAATAATAATGTTACATCCAAATAGTTGCATAGAATCATGTGCTTGTCTAAGCACAGGTACAGCCTCTTAGAAATATGAAATTACTTCAAACAGAGACGAACACAAAGCTCTCAGTCTCCCACAGCTTTCATTACAGCCTCTGAGAGAGAGAGAGAGAGACCATTAGCACATGTCCTTTCTTCTCTGGTGCTTGAGAACAAAGATCCAACTCCCACAAAATGGAGATTTGCAGCTGAATACTTATCATGTGATCTAAAGTTAAACACCTCGTCACAGAGTTGCCGAATACATTCTAAGTTAATTATCAACCCTTTAGGCTCTCTGCAACTCCTTTGTTTAACTACAGTGGAAGTTTACATGATATGCAGTTAGCAGTACACATACAGAGTTATTTTCCATTTCAATGTACAATTAAACAATTATACTTTGCAAAAATCCCATGAAGCTGAAGTTGGTTACTGTTTCCAGTTCCTTATTTACACAAATGCACAGCTCGGTCAGAAAACTTTAGTGAAGAATCAAAGCTTACTGTGGGAAGCACCTCTCCCCTGCCAGTTTCTCGTTTGGCTGCATCAAGCACATTATGCGAGAGGTGAGCAGGAGATGTGGAAGAAGGGAGCACTTGTTGTATTTGATTGTTTCCATATCAGGACCCTTTAACACTGCTAAAGCATTGCTTTTCAGGAATCAGCTAGATGCAGAGTTTAAAATGGCGTTTTTTATTCTCCCCATAACACACTCGGATGCTGATCTCCAAGATCCAGTGGGTTGGAGTGGTTACAGTGCGGGACTAGGATCTGGGAGACCAGGCTTCAAATCCCCCACCCAACCATGGAGCTCAGTGGGGGACACTGGGCCAGTCACTGCCTCTCAGCTTAACTACACGTGATCATAGAATCATAGAATCATAGAGTTGGAATAGACCACAAGGGCCATCGAGTCCAACCCCCTGCCAAGCAGGAAACACCATCAGAGCACTCCTGACATATGGTTGTCAAGCCTCTGCTTAAAGACCTCCAAAGAAGGAGACTCCACCACACTCCTTGGCAGCAAATTCCACTGTCGAACAGCTCTTTCTGTCAGGAAGCTCTTCCTAATGTTTAGGCGGAATCTTCTTTCTTGTAGTTTGGATCCATTGCTCCGTGTCCGCTTCTCTGGAGCAGCAGAAAACAACCTTTCTCCCTCCTCTATATGACATCCTTTTATATATTTGAACATGGCTATCATATCACCCCTTAACCTCCTCTTCTCCAGGCTAAACATGCCCAGCTCCTTTAGCCGTTCCTCATAAGGCATCGTTTCCAGGCCTTTGACCATTTTGGTTGCCCTCCTCTGGACACGTTCCAGTTTGTCAGTGTCCTTCCTGAACTGTGGTGCCCAGAACTGGACACAGTACTCCAGGTGAGGTCTGACCAGAGCAGAATACAGTGGCACTATTACTTCCCTTGATCTAGATGCTATACTCCTATTGATGCAGCCCAGAATTGCATTGGCTTTTTTAGCTGCCGCGTCACACTGATCTTAGCCAAAAGGCTGAGAAGCCATCTCAGAGGGTTGTGAGGATGAAATAGGGAAGGGGAGAGCCACATGAATGCAATACTAAACAAACAATCAATATATGTTTACTGAGAAGTAAGTTGCATTTGGCAAAGGTCCCACTTCTCCTGGCTTATACAAACCCATTCATTGTACTGATGAGTAAGGGTGTAAATTTGTTCTTAATTGTTTCATTTATTTTACTTCTAGGGGGCAGCACTGGGCTGCATGGTGGGGCTGATGACCTATGGGAAGCGTCAGTTTGAGGATCTGGACCCAGTCATGAGGCGGCTGATTCCTCCATTCCATCAGGCCATGAAGGAGCTGCTCGTCCTGGTGGACACAGACTCTCTGGCTTTCAGCAGCTACATGGTGAGTGAGAGCCAGTGTGGTGTAGTGGTTAAGAGCGGTGGACTCGTAATCTGGTGAACCGGGTTCGCTTCCCCGCTCCTCCTCATGCAGCTGCTGGGTGACCTTGGGCCAGTCACACTTCTCTGCAGTCTCTCAGCCCCACTCACCTCACAGAGTGTTTGTTGTGGGGGAGGAAGGGAAAAGGAGATTGTTAGCCGCTTTGAGACTCCTTAGGGTAGTGATAAAGCGGGATATCAAATCCAAATCCAAACTCCTCTTTTTGACAGTGGAATTCCTCCTGCATTCTTTACCCCCTTGTTATCTTCCGCAACACATCTCTCCCTCTCTGCATTCAACAGGAAAGGTAATATTTTGAGGATCGGGAACAATTTTTAATTATTATTGGTGATGTGATTTTATTTCAGTCACCTGGAATGGTGATTGGAATGACAAATGTAGAAAGGTAAATCCCGGGACAGGGAGGGATGGAAATGTGCTGCCACAAAGAGCAGCCTTGTCTTTACCAGAAGAAAATAACAGATGCAGACAACTGCTGGAGATGTGGGAGTACAAATGCGAACTTACTACATATGATGATTAACTGCCCAATGATAAGATCATTTTGGTGTGAGGTGGAGATATATATAGCAAGAGTAATAAAAAGAAATTGTTATTTAGGGGAATTGAATTTAATTCTAAATTATATACCGGAAACGTGGGAGATTACAAGGGGTCAAAAAAAAAATATGGATGTATCGTGCCATACTAGAAGCAAATTTATTTCGGTCCTGGAGGTGCTCTTGAATATGATCAGAAGGGACCGGTTGATTGAAGGAATTCAGGTCGGAGCTAAACAATACAAACTTAAGGCCTTTGCAGATGACCTGGTTTTGACATTACAGGAGCCAGAATCTAGTACGAAAAGAGTTTTAGAACTGATTCAGGAATTTGGTCGGGTGGCGGGATTTAAGTTGAATAAAACAAAAAACTAAGGTTTTGGGGAAAAACTTGACAACTATGGAAAAAGAAAGGTTCAGAAGGAGACAGGGTTAAATGTGGTTAAAAAGGTGAAATACCTTCTTGTGCCCCGGCCCTGCTTTGAGTGCTTCTCATTGACGCGTCTGCTTGGCCACTCACTCTACATGGGCCCTTGTGGCCTTGATCCAGTAGCCGGGTCCTTCTTTGGAAAGAGCGAGCGCCTCCCTCCGCCCCCGCCACACGGAGCTCAGCCTGCACGTGGGCAGGCCCTTTGCGTCACGTGCGCTTGGCGCGCTGCTCTCTCCAGCTTCCTCCCGGCCGGGCCAGCGGCTCCACCTCTTTTCCTTTGCCTTTGAGCCGCTTAATTCCCAGCAAGCAATTAGCAGGCTCGCTCCACCTCCTCCTCCTCCCGGCTTTGCTGCTGCTGCTGCTGCGAGGCTCTTTTCCTCCACCGACGGCTCGCTGCGCCTTGTAGAGGTTCCCGCTTCCTCGAGGGGGGCCGGCCAAACGCGCCCCAAAATGTTGCGCCCGGTGCGGCCGGCACCCCTGGCACCCCCCACGCTACGCCACTGATACCTAGAGGTTAATATGACGGCTAGGGGACGCAGGTGGCGCTGTGGGTAAAAGCCTCAGCGCCTAGGGCTTGCCAATCAAAAGGTCGGCAGTTCGAATCCCTGCGGCGGGGTGCGCTCCCGTTGTTCGGTCCCAGCGCCTGCCAACCTAGCAGTTCGAAAGCACCCCGGGTGCAAGTAGATAAATAGGGACCGCTTACTAGCGGGAAGGTAAACGGCGTTTCCGTGTGCGGCTCTGGCTCGCTGGCCACGTGACCCGGAAGTGTCTCCGGACAGCGCTGGCCCCCGGCCTCTTGAGTGAGATGGGCGCACAACCCTAGAGTCTGTCAAGACTGGCCCGTACGGGCAGGGGTACCTTTACCTTTAATATGACGGCTAAAAATTTGAATTTATTTAAAGATAACTATGAAAAATGTTGGTCAGAAATCAAAAAGGATTTAGAAATTTGGACAAAATTGAAGCTTTCCTTGTTGGGTCGAATTGCTGCTATAAAAATGAATGTATTGCCAAAAATGTTGTTTTTGTTTCAGACCTTGCAGATTGTGGACAAAATGGATTGTTTTAAGAGGTGGCAGAGGGATATCTCTAAGTTTGTCTGGCAGGGCAAGAAGCCCAGAATAAAATTTAAAATACTAACTGATGCTAAAGAAAGAGGGGGTTTGCCCTGCCAGACTTGAAATTATATTATGAATCAGCAGCCTTCTGCTGGTTGAAAGATTGGCTACTTCTAGAGAACACTGACACTCTGGACTTGGAAGGGTTTAACAATGTGTTTGGGTGGCATGCATATCTGTGGTACGACAAGGTTAAAGCTCATAAAGTATTTAAGAACCATATTGTCAGGAAAGCAGTGTTTAATGTCTGGACAAGATACAAGGATTTATTAGAAAATAAGACCCCAAGGTGGCTATCACCAATGGAAGCTAAGGCTCAGAAAAGACTCAATATGGAGGCCAAGTGGCCAAAATATTGGGAGATAATAGAAAAAGATGGAGACGCATGGAGATTGCAGAGTTTTGAGAAACTGAAAGACAAAGTGCGAGATTGGTTACATTATCGTCAAATTAGAGAGGCTTTTAATGTGGACAAAAAACAGGCTTCCAGGTGGAAAAATCGAAATTAGAAACAGAATTGTTAGAACCTAAAACTAAGGTACTTTCAAGAATGTATAACTTGCTGTTAAAATGGAATACTCAGGATGAAACGGTCAAATCAGCTATGATAAAATGGGCGCAAGACATTGGCTACAATATTATGTTTGCTGACTGGGAACGGTTATGGACCACCGGTGTGAAATTCACGGCATGTAATGCCTTAAAAGAAAATATTATGAAAATGATATACAGGTGGTACATGACCCCAGTCAAGCTTGCAAAGATATACCATCTGCCAGATAATAAATGTTGGAAATGTAAAGAAACTGAGGGAACATTTTTTCACCTTTGGTGGACGTGCCCAAGGGTCAAGGCTTTCTGGGAAATGATCTATAATGAACTGAAAAAGGTATTTAAATATACCTTCCCTAAGAAACCAGAGGCCTTCCTTTTGGGCATTGTTGGCCAATTGGTGCCAAAGAAGGATAGAACTTTCTTTATGTATGCAACAACAGCAGCAAGAATACTCATCGCAAAACATTGGAAGACACAAGATTTGCCCACCCTGGAAGAATGGCAGATGCAACTGATAGACTACATGGAATTGGCGGAGATGACTGGCAGAATTCGAGACCTGGGAGAAGAGCTAGTGGAGGAGGACTGGAAGAAATTTAAAGACTACTTGCAAAAGCATTGTAAACTGTATGAATGTTAGAATGATGCGGGATATAAAGATAATATGGCATTAGTGATATAGTTAAAGCTATGCAAAAATGATATATAGAACAAAGGTGAAGTCAGAATAACATTATGTCAAACCTAAACAATATGAAAGAGTGGAGGGAAGAATAGCGGCATAAATAGTTGAAGTGTATAATATGAATTAAGATCTGAAAAAAGGTGAGGTACTGCTGAACATGATTTTGTAAAAGGGAACACAGAAAAGGGAGATGTGAGGGAGTCCAGAATATTATTTAAGAAAATGGCTTGTTTCTTTTTTATGTTGTTGTTTCTTTTTTGTTTTTTATGATGGGTTTTTTTATTGTGTTTTGTTGTTGTTGTTGTTTGTATGGTGTTTTTTCTTTTTCACTATGTGTTGTGAAATTTGCTTCATTTTTGAAACTTTAATAAATATCTTAAAAAAAAACAAAAACTTGTTTTGATGAATTGGAAGAGCCGCAAAAAGATTCCATTGAGCACATGGATTGATAATATGGACAGACTAGCGACATACGAACGAACTGCATGTCGACGCAAATTAAGAATGGATAAATATGAAGAAATCTGGAAGGAATATTTAAGTGATAAGGCGGACAGTGGTGGGATGTAGGGGGAGGAGAGGTGGAGAAATATTGTTTAAAAGGTGTAGTCATAGGTATATCAGTACTCAAATCTGAAATGTTAAATTGTGTTATTAGTGTTATTGTGGTTTTTGTTGTATGTGTTTTTTGTGGTGGTTGTTTGTATTGAAAAAATGATATATATATATATTTTTTAAAAGAGCAGCCTTGTCTGTCTGGGTGCAGCTTGGGCCTTGTTCTGTAAACAGGTGGTTCTACGATGGGCAAAGTGGAAGATACTGGGAAGCAGTTCTCATAGCCTGAATAACTACTGGACACAGTTAACTAAGTATGTTTTTCTCCCTTCACCTTAGGCTGCTATGAAGCTCCCTAAGAACACACCTGAGGAGAAAGAAAGGTATGTATCAATATCTCACTTTCCCATCTGTTTAACAATTATGGCTACTAAATAATCTTTTGTATGTACCTGGTTGCTGAATTTCCCTTAGCTCCTCTCATACATTTACAGGTACCTGGAATAAGCAATGGCTTCTACACCTGTTCAGAGTGATATAGCCACTGTTAGTCATGCTCAGAAATCAATGGACAATCAATAAAGTCTATATATTACTTAAAGCGTGTGATATATGGACATGTTGGCCTAAATGCTATGAAGAGATTCCTGCAAGGTCTTGCAGTTATTGAAAGAGAGGGTGGAATGTGGATGCAGCTAAATGGACGCATGGCAGCTCATTTTTTATTAAATATTACTTGAATGAGATCAGGCAGTTTTCACTGATTCTCTGTTCCCTGTACACACAGCCTGCACCCCTCTCTCACCAGAGGATTTGGTGGAACCTCTGGAACAGATTGTGAGGTGACACACAATGGTGGCTGCAGGGAAAAGGAGAAAGCCACCCAGGTGGTGGGGAACAAATGACAAAATCATTATTGTTATTGAAATGTTAACCTCCTCTCTCCCCTCCTTTCTGCTCATGGATCAAAGAGCCTTCCATGCTAACCTTGTGGGGCCTTAATTTAGGGTGGCATTAGCTTAGGGGCCCCAGAGTCCATTGCCTTCTGAGCAACTGTCACCAAAAGACTTGTCCAAATGTGTCTGTTAATTTTTAAGGTGTTGGAAGACTGCCGCTGTTCCTCTCTGCAATGTGTCTTTTAGGTATCATTTCCTTGTTTGTGATTTCCAGTTGAATTTACTAGAAATATATTTGGTATATACCTACTTTTGTCTATTTATTCTCTTGCAGGCGGACAGCAGCCATGCAGCTGGGCCTGAAAAGTGCGGTTGGTGTTCCCTTTTCACTGGCAGAAAAAGTTCATTCTTTGTGGCCCCTTTTAAAAGAAATGGCTCTGCAAGGAAATATAGCCTGCAAATCAGATATACAGGTATAATAAGTATTTGGTGGATGAAAAGCATTCCTTTAAAAGGGCTGTGTACCTGTTTTATGTTTTTAATAGATCTTTTAGATATATGTGAGTAGTTTTCATTCTATTTCCTGCCAACCTAGCCTAGCGGTTCGAAAGCACGTCAAAGTGCAAGTAGATAAATAGGTACCGCTCTGGCAGGAAGGTAAACGGCGTTTCCATGCGCTGCTCTGGTTCGCCAGAAGCAGCTTAGTCATGCTGGCCACACGACCCAGAAGCTGTACGCCGGCTCCCTCGGCCAATAAAGCGAGATGAGCGCTGCAACCCCAGAGTCGGTCACGACTGGACCTAATGGTCAGGGGTCCTTTTCTTTTTCATTCTATTACTGCTTAGTTGTTTTTTAACCCCCCCCATTTTTAAACTGTTCTTATTTTATCTGTAAGCCACCTTGAGTCCCTTTGAGGAGAAAAAGTGGGGAATGAATGAATGAATAAAATAATCAAATAATGTCTCTGTTCTGTTTTTTTAAAAAAATAATTTTAATTATATTTAGTCTAAAATTTATATTTAGTCAGGTTTTAATTTTATTTGTTAAAACCTGCCTGGGATTCTGTCAATGAAGGGCAGTTTAAGCTTTTAAATAAATAAATATGATACACTGATTACAAATTTTCTAAAGAAATAACTGTAGATTATATAAGAATTGCAAAGCATTTTGTATGCTAAAAGGTGCCTTAGACATGGCAGATAATTACATTTTATCACTGCTGTTTTGAAATTAGTGGTTTAAAACTGCAGTTTTGAAAGGTTCAGTCCACCATCTTGATTCAAAATGGGATCCCATTTGTCCAAACAAAGATGAAAATCTGCTCATTGATTTAAGGAGCCATCATGCAAAATTTGGTTACAATATCTTTAAGAGGTGTCCAAACGTAAAGAGAACAAACAAATTTCAAATATATATATTATATTGTCAGTTATACTGTGTGTGTAGATTTTTTGTAGACCTAAAAAAGAGTCCTTGGGCTGAAATGTGCTACAAGGAGATAGCATCTTCAGGCTACAGATGAAAGTTGCAATATCTCAGCAAACCATAAAATAGATAAATTACTATTTTTATCTTGTGAACCACCCTTACAAGAGGGTTGTATATAAATGTTAATACATAAATACCTACAAACATGGACTTGGGTAGCGCAGAGCATAATGGAAGCCTAGCCTTTTAAGTGCTTCTGCATGAGTTCCAGAATGTTCTTACCAGTTGCTGGTTTGGGTGGTTTTCAGTGGTTCATAGTGACCTGAATCTTTTACTGATGGTGTCAGGGGCTCAGGAGCAGAGGCACAGGAAAGGGAGGAAATAGAGAGCGAGGGGGAGGAATCCGAAGGAAATGTTAGCGATGACAGCGGCCCGAGGTCTCTGAGTCTTTCCAGTGAATCGGAAGATTCACAGAAAGGGGCTCCCATGGTCAGAGCAAGGGGGGTGCCTAGGGGGACACCCCAGGAAGAAGGGGCCAGAGGGGACTCAGAGAGCAGCAGTTGGAAATCAGGACCAGCTTCCCCACCAGAGCGCAGTAGGGGGAGGAGTCCCAGGTATCGGGATCAGGCGGCTCACCGCCAGCGGGAGGAGAGGAGTCAGGATTGGCCATGCCTCCATCGGAGAGCGAGGAAACGGTCAAGAGGAAGGTTGGAGGCTGGGCGCGCGCGCCAAGTTCAAATGTACAGGAGGGCGGCGCAGTTGGTAGCCCGGATAGGGAGCCAGGTCCTAAAGCCCGCTGGAAGGAGGGACAGGAGTCAGGGGGGTCAGCGTCAGAAGAGTCCAGAAAGGAGGAGACCCCGGGGGGCAGAAGGACCCAGAGGAGAAAGGAGAGACGGAAGAGGTGGAGTAAGGTTAGAGTATTAAACTGGTGTACAGGGGGTGGAGACTCAGACGGAGCTTCGCCGGTCTAGCTTCTAAGACGTAGAGCTGCGTGCTGTGGCTTGAAAATGGAAACTGTACTTCAATAAAGACTTTTGTACATTACTACCGGCTAGCGTTGGTCCTTTGTGAGCTGGGACCTGGGGACAGCTCTGACAGATGGTGTTTGAAGTCACAGGCCTCCTCTGTGTTCTTTGTCTACAGGTGGCAGCTAAAGCTTTAGAAGCTGGTGTGTTTGGTGCCTATTTCAATGTTGTCACCAACCTGAAAGATATAACAGATGAAGGCTTTAAGCAAAAGGTAAGAAATGCTCAGGCTTTCTGCTCCAGGGCAGTGGCGTAGCGTGGGTTGTCAGCACCCGGGGCAAGGCAAGTAATTTGCGCCCCCTAACCCGTGGATTTGCGCCCCCTAACCCGTGGATTTGCGCCCCCTAACCTGTGGATTTGCCCTAACCCCAGATGTTGCGCCCGGTGCGGCCGGCCCCCCCTGCACCCCCCACGCTACGCCACTGCTCCAGGGACTATGTTAACCTCTAGTTAAGTGCTGTGTCTCTGGCATTGTTCATACAGGCAAATCAAATATATTGATTTCAGTTCTCCCAATTTCTATTTTCCCCCAGTTTTAAATTTGCTTTTCCATATTTCCACCAATAGTTTACAATTTATTTCTCCCCCCCCCCCCCAAATCCTCATGGAAATTCTTTAGCATTTCAGGACAATTTTATCTGAATATTCACATTTTTCAAAAGCAATTTCCCCTAACATATAATGTGTTTGTGTATGTTACTTTTACTAATACACACATACTTTACCCTAATATATGCATTTTGTGCATGCTACTTGACTGGAAAGCTGCATTGCAAAATTCAGAGAGCTGCAAATGTCAGAGGATAACTGGTGTTGGTCAGCTCTGTCTGTGCCATGAATGAGGTCAGGGACCAGAGTCCCTCGAGTCACATGGTCCACCCTTTGTTTGTACAGGCTTGGGTAATCCAAGGCTGAGCCTGGGGATTGTAGTCCTTACATGGGAAGGTTGGGTTATGGCTAGAAGACTCTGCCCCCTGCACACATACTTCTCCCCAGGGCTGCTTCATGCATTTGCTCTTCACCCAATTTTAACTCTCCTGTTCTGCGTAGGTGCAAGGGAAATTTCCCACTTTTTAGAGGAAGCCACGAAAAGTACTGCGTTTGTGCTACATCATCTGGAGAAGCGGACAATGTGAATGATTCTTCATATCAGGAACTTCTTATCTATGGATGTATAAGAACCAGTTGTAGTATTGCCAGGTTGTATGTAGATAGACATGCAGATATTTTGCCGAGTGAAATACCAGAGCAACAGTGCTTGTGATTTCTGTTCCACAGCTGCAAATGCAGAGTTCCATGTGCCCCAATTCTAGTCTTGCACATTGCTTCCTTGGTGGCAGCGTGGGGCTTGTTGTTCTTGGTAACTCCCTTGAACCAAAGTAGCCCCACCCACACCACTAGGATAACAGGAGGATGCATTATTCTGTGACTCAAAAAATATTTTTGATAACTTTCTGTGGAATGTTTGAGATCTAGAAGAGGGAAGGATGCTATAGCTCAGTTGCTTTCAACAGTGTTCATAATGAAGTTGTGAGGACCAGCACCAAAGTTTCCAGCCTTGGCTTCTGGTTTCCAGTTGCCTTAATGGCACAGCTCCCACAAAAGCGGAGATTGTTAGCGAAGATAAACAAGTATTATTTGAGGGTAATTGTCCTTGCAAACTCCCCCCCCCCGGGCCTGGGGGGAGTAAGCTTCACTCGCAGATTGTATTGGTACCTGGCTTTTGCTCCGACATGGATGTGAGAGGTATCACTTCATTATAAATCCTTTGTTACATAACCCCCCTCCCTTCTTCACTAAAGTAAATGAAGAAGAAAGGAGATGGGAGTACAGATATAGATTATAATGTTAAACAGGATTGTGTGAGGAAAATATTAACGTTTGGAATAACTATAAAAAGGGCTTGGAGCTCTGTGGAGTTAATTTTTTACTTGCCTCCTGATTGAGGGGAGGAGGGACTGGATTTTGAAGACTTGCCGGGGCTCTGGCGGGACACCAGATCATTCTTCTATGAATAATTCTAATTAATTGTTTCGAATGGAGGGGAGAATTTGGAGGCCTGCCAGGGTTTGGGCAGGACATTGGGTGACTCCTTGCTTGAAATCAAAAGTGAAATTTTGCAGCTGCATCAGAAGAGTTGAGAACAAAGAGAGACCTCTCCAGAGTAACTTTGAGTCAACGGAGCCGTAAGGCACAAAGGAGATCAGGAATAACTAATATGGACCTAATATTTGATAAAGAATTAAAGGAACAATTGATGGAAATTAAAACCTCACACAGGAAGAAGAAAGGAGAACTTCACTTGCGAATATACAAATTACAGTACTATATGTGTTAATGCGAATTGAAGTTAATTATTGTAGCTGTGGTATAAGGGAGTGGATTGTATTTGGTCTGAGTAACAGTCTGGAGGAAGAATTAAAGGAATAAGACCCTGAAGTGCAGCACGTGGGAAGCCACACAAAATTACAATTTGGCTATGTAACTGATTTGTATTTGAATTGGTATTGCTATTTGGTATCAATGTAATATGGCACATACTGGGTTTTTGTAATTGAAAAGTAATAAAAATTATTTAACAAAGTCTCCAGCCCTGGGGTGTAATTTGAATGGCAGACACATCTAAGATGCCTTTCTGTAAAGTGGGAATAAATACAGTGGTGCCCCGCAAGACGAATGCCTCGCAAGACGAAAAACTCGCTAGACGAAAGGGTTTTCCGTTTTTTGAGTCGTTCCGCAAGACGAATTTCCCTATGGGCTTGCTTCGCAAGATGAAACATCTTGCGAGTTCTTGTGAGTTTGTTTCCTTTTTCTTAAAGCCTCTAAGCCGTTAATAGCCGCTAAGCTGCTAAGCCGTTAATAGCCCCTAAGCCGCTAATAGCCGTGCTTCGCAAGACGAAAAAACCGCAAGACGAAGAGACTCGCGGAACGGATTAATTTCGTCTTGCGAGGCACCACTGTACTTTCAAATTGCTCTGTGTTCTAGTAAATGCTTGTTATACAAAATATGTCCAATGTATCAATCAGAGCCCAACTTCATTGCACTGTGCTTGCTCTAACTCAGAAGCCGGTAGTATCTGTGTGTTGTATTGATCAGCCTAACGATTGGTTTTGCCTGGATTTACTCGTAATGATTTCCTTTCACAATAAAGCTATAAAGAACTGTGTTATATGCCGTGCCTAAAGTGAGTCATTAATAGATCCAGTTACCGCACTGATTTCTGAGCTCTGAAAGGTTGCAAGCAGGACTTTCTTTCAGCTGGAACCTCTCAGGTGGGCCCCATTGCCATATTGAAAGAACGAGGGAGGCGTCCAGGATGAGTTCCGGCACTCCTCTTTCCAGGAAAATAGCACTAGTTGCAAGCAAAGATGTTTCCTCGTCCTGTATGTGCAGCAAGGCAGCTGCTCTTCTGCTGAGTGGCAGCCATGAGGGGCAGCTTCACGTATTTATCACACCCAATATCTGCTTTTATTTATTACCCCTCTAATTACAGCAATTAATCTACATTGCATTTATCAAGTGGCATGTGAAAGGACCCTGCTCAGTCCAACATTCAATAACCTCCACGTCGTCTGTTGTTGAAATTTTCAGCCCACTCCCTGCTGGGGTGCGTTCCAGTGTCAGAAGGCTTGCTCTCTCCCTGTGTGAGGGCTCAGCAGTTATGCCCTTTGGCCTGACTTGCGTCACTCTGTAAACAGGGTGGAAACAAAGATAAGCTCCTTTATCGAGACAATTTGACTCCAGCTCTTGCTTCTGCTCCAAACTCTGGATAATTCTGCTTATAGAGCTCGCCAACTAGAATAAGTTGCTCCTCCTGTATTTCATGTATGATTCCTGTATCATGTGCTTACAGGGAACCTTTAATTCACTTTGCATTAGTAATAAGAATATATTGGCAGTCATCTGCAATTTATGTCTTACTGGGCTGAGTTCAAGGTGCTGCTTTTGGTGTCTAAAGCTCTATACAGCCAGGAGCCAAACAGAAATCAAACTTTGCTGTTTGGTTTCCGGCACACATCACTGCAACTCAACTCTAAACTCTGGCTTTGTCCTTCTAACTAATCATAAACTGGGGGGGGGGCACCCATTTGCTGTCTCATGCAGAGTCCCTTTCCTTTGTCTCCCTTAATGGCCCATCTCCCAGGTGATCACCTCAACGCAGGAAGCGAGCCTGTCTTAAATGTAAACACTTGCTGACAGTGTTTCTCAACCTTGGGTCCCCAGATGTTGTTGGACTACAACTCCCATAATCCCTGAGCTCTGGCCTTGCTAGCTAGGGATGATGGGAGTTGTAGGACAAAAACATCTGGGGACCCAAGGTTGAGGATCTCACATACAGCCTACTTACTTCTCCACAAATTTCTAGCATTACCTGCTGAAGAACAAGACACCTGTCCCTAGATCTACAAAGAAACAGCAAGAAGCAGTTTCCCTGTAGGAAAAAAACAGGCAAGTTAGCAAAGGAATTGGGGGTAAAAATTGCTTTACCTTGTGCAGAAATGACTTCAAAGCAATCCATTACAATGGCACACATGGCTTACAGTGCTTTATTCAATGAAAAAACAACAACAAAAGCACTATGATTTATAACTGTAAGAAAACTATTGCATATTACATGCGTAGCTGGGCTTTGTAATGCTAACTGGTTTGCCACAAACCAGCATGAAACATAACAACATCTTTGTTTCTTTGGAAAGGGCCAGTGTTGAGACAGTAGTCTCTCTCTCTCTCTCTCTCTCTCTCTCTCTCTCTCTCTCTCTCTCTCTCTCCTTCACCTTCCATGACTACTTTCTATCACTCCTTGCTGCATTAAGCAGTTGTTTGCCTTCAAATAGAATGTGGAATGGGGTTGGGATTTTGCCACAAGGCAGGAGGAAAATACATATAAGCTAAACAAGCTATAGCTTAGGGCCCCACTCTCTTTCCCCCCCTCCAAATTTAAAGGATATACATTTCCAAAACATAAGATAAAAAACAAATAAAATAAAACCTACATACAGCAACAGTGTTTTGTGTTCTGTAGGATCCTATTTGTTGTGTGCAAATGGCTTTAGATACCTATTAGGTCCATAAATTACCATATAGCATATAAAAAAGGTAAAGGGACCCCTGACCGTTAGGTCCAGTTGCGGACGACTCTGGGGTTGCGGCACTCATCTCGCTTTACTGGCCAAGGAAGCCGGCATATATATTCAACACAAAAAAACAGTGACAATTGTTGTTGACAAAGGACAGCTGGACATAGAAAGGGCCCCAGTACCTTCAGTAGCTGAGGGCCTCATCAAACCCAGTGGCGTAGCGTGGGGGGTGCAGGGGGGGCTGGCCGCACCGGGCGCAACATCTGGGGGTTAGGCAAATCCACGGGTTAGGGGGCGCAAATCCACGGGTTAGGGGGCGCAAATTACTTGCCTTGCCCCGGGTGCTGACAACCCACGCTACGCCACTGATCAAACCTAAATCTGGCCCTGATCACATTGCACATTACGTGTCTAGGCATAGCATAGATGGGCTTTGCAAACCTATTTGCAAGGAATTTCACAGCTATACCTGCAAGCCTTCTCAAAACATTAACGTAATAATGCAAAATTAACATCTTCCCATCCATCTCCTCCAGAAGCTGGACTTTTCACAGACCTTTTCAATGTCTCTGAAGGTGACCTTGCCATCTTGGAGGGAGAGGGGCTGCAGGAAGTAAAGCCAGTTGCTGCAGGAAAAACCAAACCATTGTTCAATGTACCTAATGGCAGTGTCAATGAATGCAATGAACTATCCCGTTTTCCCAGGGATAGGTGGCAATCCGACACCCAACATCTCTGGAGCACTTCATGGGCCGAACAAAGGCAGATAACCCTCCCAGTGGCTCTTACTCCCGAAACTCATGGGCCCTTGCTGCTGGGGCCTCTTTAAGGGCTTCACACATTGGCCATCTTGGGGTGTTGTAACCAAATAATCTCCCTTTTCCCCTTATGGGGTATCCAAGAGCCCATATAGAGTCCTTATGTAGGTTCCCTATTGGTAGGAGAAAATAACAGAGGCCAACCAGAGAATATTGAGAAGCAAAGCAGCTAGTATTCCTGATCTTTATTGATCTGTTGCAACCGGGTGCTCCCCTCACACGCAGGAAAAGAGGAGGAACCAGAACCAAAGTGTTCCTGCCCTTATATAACATTTTAAATTCCCTGCCCTGGAGCTCAAGACCACCCCTCCATACATCATACATACATCACAGAAGGGGTGTAACCTAAGACCATCCCCCCAGATACATCATACGTACATCACAGAAAAGGTGGTCTACAGCAGAAATCTGAGTGCGTTGTTTATCTCGTCTGACAGGTTACCTGTTAATGCTCACTTGATTGGATACCCTGGGGAGCCTGGCCAGTCTTTTGTAATGATAAATACTTAGTTCCTGAGCCAGGTCACAGGCTCGCCCTATTCTAACACAGGCATACCCTTAAGACAGGATTTGTGAAGGAAAAGACAATGGGGAGGCTTTTCCATTTTCCTTGACCTTGCAGAGAAATCATTTGGTCAGTTTGGGAGCCAAAATGGCTTTATGGCTGTTTTCCTGTGCTGCTTCAGACATGTGGTTTATATATTTATGTACTGTATGTGTTTGCTTGGTGCATTTATGAACATTTAATATATATCTAAGACCTTAAAATTCTTATCACAGGGCCACCCAGGGGGCAAAATCACTGGAGTTTTGTTTTTGTGTGTGTTTGTTTTTAATCTCACTCAGTTCTGCCGGCCTCGGCTGCTCCTCCGACACATTCACACGCACCTCCAATTCCTGCTGCTCATGCATGCAGAATGTATTTCCCTCTTATCACTGGGCCAGAATAAATATAGCTCACTGAATCAAGGTATTCCCTTTCCATACCACACCTCAGGCAGGTTTGCATTGTCATTGTGTACCTAGTCTCCAACACAAGCAGGTGACCTTAGTGCTGGGGGGTGGAGTTTGCATTTAAAAGAATGTGTGCAAACTGGAAATAATGGAAGGGGAAGTTGAAAAGTGAATAAAATGACCTTTTACTAAGCTTGCTCTCCGATGGTGGCACTGGTTCACCGTGCTCTCTGATTGGTAGGAAAGTCTTTAATTGCTGAAGGTGTGGTTATATAAGTGAAGGACGCTTATTGTATGATCCCCTAGGAAAGACTTCACCAGGACAGCAGGCGTCACTTTGGTACTGTATGCAGTTTCAGTATTGAGCTGGGGGAGAAGGCGGTGGAATACCCTCCCTCTTCTCCCAGGCATTTGAGGGAATATTATTGCACTTGTAGCTACTTTTGTGTTGTAGTCTGGGGGGAGGTATTCTTGTTTTATTGTTAAAACTTTGTGCTTTGAGTTCGTATGCCTGTCCCCTATAAATGCTTTGTAACAGGTGAAAAATAAATCAAATAAATTTTCAGTTGCATGCCTTCTATTTAGGAGAACCAGATATATACAGGTATATAAACCTTTATTTTTTAATTCAGCTTAAGTTTGCTGGTGTAGACATATAATTCAAAATCCAGCATACCCCTAAAGACTTACATAAGCTAGCACCAACTTTTATATTTGGCTCTCCTGTCTGGGG